TGGCCATTAAAGTGAATAGGATCCATAAAGTGAAAAGTGTTGGCCATTAAAGTGAATAGGATCCATAAAGTGAAAAAGTGTTGGCCATTAAAGTGAATAGGATCCATAAAGTGAAAAGTGTTGGCCATTAAAGTGAATAGGATCCATAAAGTGAAAAGTGTTGGCCATTAAAGTGAATAGGATCCGTAAAGTGTTGGCCATAAAAGTGTAGGATCCATAAGTGAAACCATGGTGTAAAATTAAAAATCAATAAAAAGGGAAACGTGTTAAGGAGGCCTTTTGTCACAAAAAGTTTTGTAATTAACCAATTCCAGGCTTGATAAATGACAAAAGCAAAGAAGCAACAAATATTTCAGTGATCACGGTTTAAATTACATATAGAAAAAGGGAGTTTTTGGATTTTGTGCCTGGACAGAGCTCACCAGAAGATGCAGAGTTTTATTTCCAGCTAAACTTTTGTATATGCATTTTGGTTTCGGTTCAGATAGTATTCAACATTTTTAAGAAAAGCCCTTTGAAGCCAAACAAGTTTTCAAATCTTGCTGTTACGTATTTTTCATTGCTCTGGGAGTGTGTGTGACTGCGCGCCGCACAGTGACTGCGCGCTCTCACACGGCAACCTGTTTCGGGTCTAAAAATAGACACCGCATGCAGATGAGCAGTTTGTCTTCTCTCTCATGTTCTCCCGTTAAATTTGTGTAAATTAGAGTTTAAATTTTGGGTTTTAGAAAGCTTTAAACGCAAGTACTCAACAGATTTGGCTTGTTCATTTTTATTTTTATCGTATGTTTATTTTTCATAGTTGTAGAACTAAGAACGCTTCACCATATTCCTTGAATTTCTCGCTCTAATCTTGCTTTTACTTTTGCATTGCTGTTATATCGTTTAAATTGGTTGTAAGAGTTTGTATGATTCCTATGTCCTCCCATTACAAAAACACATAGTTGAAATAATTAAGATAGCTTGTTAAAAGTGCATGAATATTGACTTTTTAGTCTGAAAGAATATTGGTAAATAACAGCAATGCATTAAATCTTTAAATTTTTCCCCTTTTCGCTTGGTTGTGGGAATTCTTGCATGCGTTTTATCAAAGTCCAGCCGTGAGCGCGTGGGAGTGCGGGAACGGCTCCAAAACACCTGCCGCTTCTCAAAATACAATAATCTGTTTCTATTCGTTTGTGTACATCTAAAAAAACGTGTTCACTTACATATTCCATTTTATTTTTATTATTAATATTATTTTTCTTGTTTTTAACTCCAAATTTTAGAATTTATTTTTTGTAATCTGGCAATTCTTGAAATATACACTTTGCATTTGGCTACATTTTTGGCTCACCGTATCAAAAATATATTTTTGTGAGCGATAATTCGAACTGTTTAAAAAAAAAAAAAAAAAAAAAAAAAAAAAAGAATATCAAGTTATTTCTGCTATTATTCGGTGCCCGAACTGTTGGTATTTTTCTGTCGGCTGTTTCTCTTTCTGCACTTCAGCTATTTTTATTATATGTAGATACAAGGCTTTACAAATTATTTTTCTGCATTTATTTATGGTTTTTAGAATTCAAAGCATTGAGTTAGAAAAGTAAATGCTACAGTTTATTTCAAAGTACTCTGGCATCTTCTGGTTAGATTTGTTTTGAGAAAGTACGGTCCAGGCCAAAATTGCATTGCCGTACGGCATCAGAGTTTTATTTTTATTCTTTCATTTTTGATTTGTTTTCATTTTATGTTTAAACACAGTTGAACAATAATTGCTAATCTAAATGTTGAAGTGGGTAGAATATAGAACTTAAATTGCTTTTTGACTTTAATCCCCAAAACTGTTGAATCTTTAGTCATTTTGTTTTGTTTTGGCTTCCATAATAAAACAGCTCTTTTCCGCAGGTGCATTTTCTACACAAAGCACATTTGTATTTTCCACATTTTAAAAGATCAGTGTAGAATAAAAAAATAATAATTGAATAAAAATAAGTGTATTTTCTACTTTGAGACTTAATAACCTTTATTTTGCATAAATTCCAGTTTCAATACTGTTACATTCAAATAAACAAATGCAAATACAAGGAGCATTTATTAGCATTTGGTTTATCAAATAACGGGAATAGTTGTTTTGTTTTGTTTTAAAAGCGAATAATATCAGTGCGCGTCGGTCAGTTTGTTTGCGTTTTGTGTTGACCATACCCATACAAAATCCAGTCTAGCTGGGCTCTATTCTATTTTATTTTATTTTATATAGTTGAATTTTGTTTTTTACAAATAATACACATTTTGGTTTTTGTCTGTTTGATTTTCCAGTCACAATTTGAGTCAACATTTCCCGTTCAATTAAGTTTTGGTCCCCAAAAACAGTGTACTTGGAGACCATATTTTATTTTATTTACATTGTATTTTTATTTTTTATTTTTGTTCTGGATTTTGGATTTTTAATGTAATTTTTTTTTTTTTTTTTTTTTTTTAATTTGTTTTGTTTATTATTATTTATTTTATTTTTCTCCACCTTTTGCCTTGGTGTTGAGTTTATTCTGGCATCCTTTTTATTTTCACTCTTTATTTTATTTTATTTTACGTTATTTTATTTTGATTTTTGCAAAAAAAAAAAAAAAAACAATGTCTTTCATGAAGATGGACACATTTTTGAGGGAGGCAGAACATTACATACACATCAAGGAAGAGCCATTAAAGGAAGAACAAAGAAAGATTTTACTGATGAAGAAGCTGTTCAAAAAGTATGCAGCGAAGAAACTAATTTCTCGTGGCGAAGATGCCCTGGCTCCGACCAAAAAGCAATGGGAAAACATTTCACAATATCACCAAGGCAAAGTATTGCATCATCGCACCCATCCAGTACTCACCAGAAGAGGCTACGTGACTGATGAAGCAAAGATCAGGAAGCATGAGGAGCTGAAAAACTTTGCATTGGAGCTGTATGACATTGCAAAGAAGATTGCCGAAAAATGTGAAGAACGAAAAATGACACGTATCCTTGTCCTGAAGGAGGGCACTCAAGAGGATCAACCATACAAGCAGAGAAAGAAGTCGGTGACGCTGAAAACTCAGGAGGCACATTCTGCAGACCCAGGACGCCTCAGGTCTGGTACCGTGTACAAGGACCTCCATGATGATACGGAGGAGGAGTGTGATGTTGAAGCTACTCAGAGAAGAAGAATTAAAGGAAAAATGCTCATGAGGGAGACGCAGACGCCTCTTCCACGGATAAATGATGAACTTCTGTACCCGGCTTCCGAGCCTGAAGACATGGAAGCATATCACAAGGAGAAGCACAGCTACAAGCAACTGAGCAGGTCACTAAAGGACTTGAGTACCCAGTATTCAACGTCAACTCCATGTTCCCCCCCTCGTTTCAAGAGATCTGCAAGACCAGAATACACACAAGTGGAACGCCCAAAAGCCACAGCCCAAGAAGATTTCCCAGAACCAGTTGAACACACAGTGTTGGGTGGCACCCTCTCTATGGTTCCATCCAGAGGCGATCGTGAAGATGTGCAAGAACTAGTGAAACAAGTCAAGACACTGACAGCACTGGTCAGTCAACAAGCACAAAGTGTTCACAACCAAACCTCTGAAGAAGATGAACATGAAGAAGTGGGGATTCCTCAACTGCGGAAAAAAGAAGAAGAAATATGGAGGAAGTCAAAGACCAAGACAATGCAAAACATGAACAAAGAAAAAGAAGAACTCATTTGTTTAATGGACAAAGAACCAAAGCACACCCAAACCAGTCGTGAAATGCATATAAGAAGAGGCATAGAGAACCGACTGAGGACAGGCCACAACCCCTTCCGTCCAGAGACAAGAGACCACTATGTCGCAGGGGAGTTTACCGGCCTGGTCGAAGACCAACAGCATGAGGGAGCCTTCGTGAGTGGGCATGTCAACCCATTTTTTGACCCAAATCACTCACTGCTAGAAGAAGATGAAGCGGGAAGAGCAGCAACCTCTCTCTTTCCACTAAGAGAGGCTGCGGGTCGCCAGCAAGTGTATCAGCCATTTGCATTGAAAGACATTGAAGGACTAATGCTGAAATTGCCAAAGCTGACAAAAGGAGCACCTGCATTTATGAGGGCACTGACGACGCACACAGCTGGTGAAATATTGTGCTGGGGAGACGTCTCTTCTATAATCACCAGAAATACTGATGAAGCCACTACCAAGAAAGTACGGGCGGAGCTAACAAAACGCATTGGACCATTCAACCATACCCTGTCCTTTACCACCATGAAAGGACCACTGCTGTCAATTCTGAGAGAAATGTTTCAAACATGCGTTCCAGAAGAATTACTTTCGCTAAAGATGAAAGAAGATGAAGAGTACTTTGAGTACAAGCGCAGAGCCAAGGCCTTATTCTATGATGCAACTGGGGAAGCAGTGCAACCAGGAACAACAAGTACATTCATCCTGTTCAACACAATGGTCAAAGGAATGCCAAAATCAGTACAACAAAGTCTTTCTAATGTTGTTGGACTGTACACACTGACCGAAGAAGACTTTGATAAAAACTGCAACCACTATGTGACCCTCTATCGAAATGAAAGAGAGAATAATAAAGAAGAAACACAAAAAGTGGAGGTGTCTAACATCAAGCTACAAAACAAGAAACTTAAAGAAGAGGTGGAAGCACAAAAGAGTAAAAACAAGGCCGCAAATGTGATGAAAGTTGGAGTGGACGGATCACAGGTCAATGTTGAGGACAATGACCAGAATCAAAAAGGAAAAGAGCAAACTGAACAGATGGTGGACGTTGTAAAGCTCCTTTTGACACAGAGACCGGCTCAGAGAGGATACAGGGGGAACTCCAGAGGAAGGAGTAGAGGGAGAGGATTTCAAGGACAAAGAGGCAATCGTCAAATATCTGGAGATCAATGCTTGATATGCCACCAATATGGACACTGGGCAAACACATGCCCTAACAAGTGGTACGAGAACCCACCCCGGAACCAATTTAATGGCCGGCGACGAAACCAACCGCAATTCTCCGGACCCTACAACGGACAGCAGCAGATGTGGACGCCCAATGACATGCCACAGCCCCCACCCCCGCCTGAACAAAACATGAGTATGCGTGGAAACTCGTACACACAGTACCAGGATGGGCCTGGAGGCTCTTATTGACGGGGCCAACAGCAAGAGAGCCACTCACTCCACAACTGGCGGAGTGAGCCAATGGTGGTCCTCGAGGTGAATGGACGAGAGATCAAGTTCATGGTCGACTCTGGTGCAACTGTGTCATGCATCACACACAAGTTTCCACTGTCCTCTGAATCAATGTCCATCTCTGGCTGTGTGGGGAAACCTGAAAGCAAACCATTTACTGTTCCATTGGAAGTAAAATCACACCATGAAACTGTTCATCACTCTTTTTTGTATCTACCAAACTGTGGCATCTCTCTGTGTGGCCGTGAACTGATGTGCAAGTTGTCCTTCTCCCTATTCTTCTGCCCTGAAGGATACAAACTCATGAACAAGCCTGAAACATTGCAACTAATACGGTCTTGGGAGAAAAACAAGCATGCACAGATATTGTATCTCTCACCAGATGTCGCAGAAGATCTGAAGACACCTATCGATATCTACTGGCTTCAAGTACTGACGGATCCAGAGCATGGTAATACAGCCTCAACACTCTGGCAACGATACAAGCTATGGGCAAAATCCAATTTCCCCTTGAGAGAACCGTTTGACCCACTGCATGCCACGCTGTACTGTACCACTCAAGAAGATGAGAGTTATAAGAATTGTGGGACAATGTGCAAGGGCAAACATTCCATGTAACATACCCATACATCTACTGTGGTCCCAAAGGCATGGCCCTGTCTGTGACTCTTCCAGATGAAGTGAAGCCCTATTATGTCGAAACAACCGACATGGACCCACATGTGACGTTGGCCGTTTCCAAGTACCATACTGCAAAGTCCCTTGGATCAATGGTGAAGTTGGCAAACACTTTGATATATGCACCAACCGACAACCCTGGAGTGTCCTACAATGGACAACATGGCATTTTCAGGATCACACTGCCAGACGGGTCAACGGACATAACCAGAGCTTTGAAGGAATCGCGTCACAGAACTTTTGAAAATCACCCAGACGCTCAACGATACTTGGATGCAGTCCCAGCTAACATATGGATGACACATGCCAATGATGTGGGATGCACATCGCATGTTGTGAAAGTCAAACTGACAACTGACACTCCAGTATACAGAGCACAATACCCCTTGAAACAAGAACAAGTGCAAGGGATCGCACAAACCATTGAAGGACTGTTGAAAGCAGGTGTTATAAGAGGAACTACATCAGAGTATAACACCCCACTATTTCCAGTGAAGAAGTCAGATTTGAAGAACTGGCGCATGGTCCAAGACTTCAGACCCCTAAATGAAGTAACAGCTGATGAATCGTACCCTGTTCCAGACCCATACATCGCACTGAACAACCTTTCTCCGAACGACAAGTACTTCACAGTAATTGATCTGGCCAACGCCTTCTTCACAATCAAACTGCATCCAGAATCTCAGAAGTACTTTGCCTTCACCGTGAAGGGGAGACAATACACTTACTGTCGGATGCCCCAAGGATGGAAACTGTCCCCCGGGTACTTCAACCATTTCCTACGTCTGGATCTGGCTGAATTTAACCTTCCTGAGAAGTGCACTCTCATACAATATGTGGATGATCTGGCTATTTCAGGACCAGATGCAAGGTCCGTTTTACAAGCATCCACTGATCTGCTCACACACCTGGCAAGAAAAGGCTATAAAGTGAAGCGGGAGAAAATCCAAATGTGCCGAAGATCTGTGTACTTCTTGGGAAGAGAGGTTTCTGCAGTTGGACAGGGAGTCTCAGACTCCAACAAAGATGCAATTCTGAAGACACCAAAACCAAAAACGGTGCGACAAATGCTGAGTTTTCTCGGACTTTGCAACTACAGTCGAGAATATGTACCCAACTATACCGCAATGACTGCACCTCTAAGAGAACTGATCAAACCCCATGGCATGAACCAACCAACTGCAAGTTTAACTTGGACCACGGAAGCAGAAAACTCCTTTACAAGAACAAAGCAAGCCGTCTGTAACGCCTGTGCACTGTATGTGTCAGACTACACACTGCCGTTTCATCTTGATGTGGCTGAATCACAATTCTATGTCTATGGAATATTGTATCAGAAGAAAAAAGGAGAAAGAAGAGTTCTGAAACACTACTCTTGCAAACTTGATCCACACGACCAAGCCCAACCTGGATGTGCAAGATATCTGGCAGCATTGACCAAAACAATCATGAAGACAGCACATCTGGTCCAAAACCACCCTCTTGTGGTACACACAAACCATGGGATCCAAGCATACTTGAACTCAAAACTGTTCATCACCACAGCCCAAAGAACTGCCAACATCACTCAGACGCTTCGTCAACCTCACATCACCTATGCCAGCGGAAACATCAACATGGCCATGCATATGATACAATGACTCTGAAAACAACAGCACGGACCATATCTGTGAAGAACTGGCGAAGACTGAACTATATGTAAGGTGTGGTGTGTTGGTTGTTAGTGTGTTTGTGGTTAAGGTGGGTTGGTATAGTTGGGGGTTGTACGTTTTGGATTTGGTGTGTGTGTGTTGGGTGTTTGGTGTGTTCGTTGGTTACAGTTAGTGTTTATTGGGCGGATGTTGTGATTTGTGCTGTTGGGTGGTTGTGTGTGTGTTGTTGTCGTTTTTGTTGAAGTGGTTGGGTGGTTGGGTGTGTGTGGTGTATGTTTGTGTGGTTTGTCTGATTGTGGTTCGGTTGTGGTTGTTGTTGATGTTGCCTTGGGTTGGGGGGATGGGGTTCTTGTGTGGGTTTGTACGATTTCGTGTTTGATGGGTTGGCTGTTGTTTGGTCGTCGTTCGTGTTTACCGGAGTTTTATATGGGTGTCATTGTTGTGTTGTGTTTGTTGCGGTTTGGGTCAGTGGTGGTGTTATGGGTGGGAAATGTGGGGTGGCTGTACCGTGTTATGACTGTTGTGTGGTTGGTGGTAGGGTGTTAGCCGTGGGCTGGATTTGTTTCAGTGGGATGGGAACCGTTGTACGCGGGCTACAGGATGTGGTTTTCGTGTTGTGTTCGTTTTGTGGGGGTGGTGCTTTTGTGGTTGTTTGATTGTGGTTTTGGTGTCTGGTCGGTTGTTTTTTGTTGGTTGTTGTGTGGCGGTTGTTGAGTCTTCGGGTAGGGGGGGGGGGGGGGGTGGTGGGTCTGGCGTCTAGGGGGGTTGTTTGGTTGGTTTAATGGTGAGGTCTTAGTGTGTTGGTTGGTGTGATGTTCTGTGGGTTCGAGAGTGGTGGAGTTGTGTTGTTGTGTGGTGGTGTGTGGTGGGTGTGTCGTTTTTGCTTGTTGTGGTGGGGGGTTGACGATTCTTTGGGGTTGTGTGGCTAGTAGAAGGGTGTGTGTTTCCGGTGTGGTTGCGTGTGGTGCGTTTGATGGTAGGGATTGGAGTGGGTTTGGGTTGGTAAATCGTTTGTTTTCCGTCGTCTGTCATTTTCGGGGGAGTTTGTTGTGGTGATGTTGGGTTTGTGTGTTGTGTGTTTTGGGAGTGTTGGGGGTGTGTTGGGTTCGGTGATGGGGTTTGTGGGTGTAGGGTGTGTTGTGTAGTGTATTAGGATGCATGTGGGTTGTCGATTCGGTTGGTGCTGTGGGTAAGATGTTGGTGTGTGTGTTGGGTTGTATGTGGTTGAGAAGTGTGGTGATGTTGTATGTTGTTTTTGTGTTATGGGGTTGTGTTTTGGTTGTGTGTGGGGGTTGGTGAGGGGGGGGGTTAGTTTGTCGTTAGCGGTGGGTGGGTGTTTGGGTGGGGGTTGGTTGTCGGTAGGTTTGTAAATGGGGTGGTTGAAGTTAGGTTGGTGGGGTTGGGTAGGTATGTGGGTGGGATTGGGTGAGGGAGTGGTGTTTAGTGTGTTAGTTTGGGTTGTCTCGTTTGGACGTTGGTGGGGTGTGCTGGGTCACTGTCCTTATGTCCACCTTATTTTGTAAGGGTGGGGTTGTAGAGTTTTGGTGGTGTATATTGACGAGAGATGGTTTTGTTTAGTTCGGTTGGGGTGGTGTGTGTGGGTTTGGGTGGTCGATACGGTTGTGTTAGTTGGCTGGTTATATGTGCAGGGTTTGTGTGTTTCTGTGTATTGTAGTGTGATTCTGTTGATTAGTGTTTGGGTAGGTAGTGGTAAAGTTGTGGGTCTGTTTGTGTGTTTGCTGTGTGTTTGGGTTTGTTTGTTTTTAGGGGGGTTTTGTTTAGTGGTTGTGTTTGGTTGGGTTGTGTTTGGGGTTGTTGTTGTGTAGTGACGGGGTGATGGGTGGTGTTGAGGTTCGGTGTGTGTGGTGTGTGTGTTTGTGTTGTGGTGGGTTGGTTTTGGGGTGAGATTTTGTAGTGGGTGTGGTAGTTGTGGATCTGGGTGGTTTGTCTTTTGTTGTTGGTGTGTTGGTGTGGGTGGATCGTTTACTTATGGTTAGGAGGTAGGGTTTTGATGTTGTGGGGTGTTTTTGGTGTTGTTGGTGTTGTGTGTGGTTGGTTGTGGGTGTGTGTTGGTGTGTGTAGGTTGGTGGGTCCGTTGTGGTGTCGTGATTTGTTGTGTGGTTTGTGGTTTCGTTGTCAGTTGTGTTTTGGGGTGTTTTGTGGTGAGGTTGTTGTTGGTGTTGGGGGTGGTGTGGAGGGGTATGTGTTTATGAGAAGTGGTTTTTCGATTACTTTGTTGGGGTTTTGTGATTATGTGTAGGTTGTTGGTGGGTGGTCTGTGTGGGTGTGGTCTTTGGTTTTGATGATATGTTTGGGGTAGGTGTGTGGGACTGTGTGTTGTCGTCTGGTTAAGGTTGGAGGATTGAGCCGTGGGTGGACTTTGGGTGTGTTTTTGTGGGATGGTTTTGTTGGTGGGTGATTGTAGACGTAGTGGTGTTTTGGGTGGTTGGTGGTTGTGGTTGTTCGTGTCGGGTGGGGGTGTTGTGTGGGTGAAGTGTTTTTTTGTATGCATGGTGATTTCTGGTTGTGAGTGGATTGAGGTTGGGATATGGGTGGTGCTGTCTGTGTATTTTCGTGCTGTTGGTGGCGTCGCTATATGGTTGTGGTCGTGTGAGAGTAGTCTTGGTGGAGTAGTGATCTTGTCGCGTTCGAGTAGGTTCCTTTCTGTGGTTTTGTTGTGTTGACTTTCTTGTGGTGTTGTGGGTTTTTGTTGTTGGGGGGTTTGTGTGTTGTTTGTTGCGTACCGATGTGGTTAGGGTGGGTGGTGTGTGTCGGGTTTGTCTTGTGGTTTTGTTGTGGTGAGTTGATTATAGTTTCGTGTTTGGGTGGAGTGTGTGCGTTGTTTGTGGTGTGTGGGTTTGTGTTGATCGGTATATTGTGTGGGTCGTGGTTCGGGTGTAATTTGTGTCGTTTGAGGTGTTGGAATGTGTTTTTGGTGTGTTGGTGGCTTGGTGTTGAGGGGTGGGTGTGGTTTACATCTTGGTTGTTTGTTAGGTTCCTTCAGGTTGTTGTAATGGGTGTGGGTTGGTTGTTGGTTGATTTTGTTTTGGGTGTAATTAGTGGTGGGTTGTTGTTCGTTCTGCGTGTTCTTTGGTGAGTGGTTTTGTGTTGGTCTTTGGTAGGTTTTTTGTTTGGTGGTGGGGTGGTGTTGGTTGGTTAGTTGGGTTGAGGTTTGGGTGTGGTTTTATGTGGTTGGTGTAGGTTCTGTAGTGGTTGGTTGCGTGAATAGGGTGTGTTGTTGGTAGTAGTGTGTTGTTGTGTGTTTGGTTGGTGTTTACTGTTTGTGTGGGGGTGTGGGTGGTCGTTTTGTCTGTGTGATTTGTTTGTGTGGGTTTGGTGGTACCGGTGGTTTTTGGAGGGGGTGTTGGTGTATGTAGGTCTGGTGGATGTCAGTTTGGGTTGGTTGGGTTTGTAAGTTAATGTGTCGGTTGTGTGCGTTGTTGGGTGTGTGGGTTGCGGGGTCTTGTGGTTAGTGCTTGGGTGGGGTGTTGTGTTGTGGTTTGTGTTGGCTGGTTTGGTTGTCTTGTGTGGGTGTTAGGGTTATGTTCCGGGTGTGTAGGGTGGTCCTCAGTGTGTGGTGTGTTCGGGGTATGTGTAGTTGTGTTGGTTTTCTGGTCGTTTGTTTACGGCTCGGGTGGTGTTTAGGGTAGATAATGGGGGTTATTAGTTGTGATTGTGATGTCAGTGAATGGGTGTGGTGTGAGTGGTGGGGTGTTGGTTGTGTTAGGTTTTTGGGGTGGGGTGTTTGTGTTGGTTGTTTGGGGTGTGGGTTGGTGTAGGGTTAGTCCTTGTGTTGTGTGTTGCTGTGTGGTAGGGTGTTGTGTGTTGGGTTTTAGTTTGTGGTTGTGTGGTGGTTGGTGAGGTGTCGGTTTGAGTGTTGTTGTTGTTCGGGTGGGGGTTGGGTGTTGTTGTGAGAGTTGGTTCGGGTCTTGTTGGGGTCATGTTTCTTGTGGGGATGGTTAGATGGGGGTGTTTTTGGTGGTGGTAATTAGTTGGCCGGGGGTTATTGTAGTCGTTGGTTGTGTAGGGTTTGTTGCGTGTTGGGTGTTGTAGTTTTGGTTTGTTGTGTTGTTTCCTTGTGGTTTTAGAGTGTGTGTGTTGGGTTTTGTATTTGGTGGTGTGTGATGGTTTGGAGGTGTTGGTTGTGTCCTGAGATGGGTCGACGTCTCTAGTTTGGAGTGTGTGGGGTGTTTTTGGAGTTTTGTTTGTTGGTTTGTCTTGTCTGGTCAGTAATGTTGTGTTGAGGTGGGTTGTTTTGGTTCGTTGTGCCGTACTGGGTGGGTCTTTTGTTTGTGTTGTTGGTTCGGTGGATGTTGTGGTGTTGTTTGTCCGTTCATCTGCATTGTCTCAGGTTACTTCTGTGGCTTTGTGTGTTTTGTTAGTTGTGAGGTTGTTGTGTTGGTTGTTCTAGGGGTGGTTTGATGGCTGTGGTGTTTGTGTGCGGTGTGTGAGTAGTTGTTGTTTGTTGTGTTTGGGGCGTGTCGTAGGTTTAACGGTTTTGGGTTGGTGTGTGGGGTTGTCCATGGTCGGTGGTTTTGTAGCATGTTGGGTGTTGTCTGCGTTTCGTTGGGGTTGTTGTTGGTTGTGGTGGTGGGTGTGTTGTTGTGGGGTTTTTGGTGTGGGTTTGGTTTTTCGTGGATTGTGGAAGTTGTTGTTTGTTGTGGGGTCGGGAAGGGTGTGAGTGGTTGGTTGGTCTGTTTGGTAGGATGTGTGGTTGTTGAGGTGTTGTGTGTGTGTGTGGTATGTGGGTTCGGTTGGTTTTCTGAGGGTGGGTAAGAAGTCTTTGTGTAGTGGTGGTTTGTGGTGTTGGACGTGGCGGTGTTGGCGGGGTGTTAGTTCGGGGGGTTTAGTATTGTGGTTGGTGGAGTGGTGTATTTTGTAAGCTGTGTGGTGTGGTTTGGAGTGGTTTTTTGTTTTGGGGGGTGTATGTGCTCTGCGTTGTGTGTTCGGGTTGTGGTTGAGGAGTGGGTTGGTATGGTGTTGTTGTGGCGGGGGTAGTGGTTGTGTGTCGGTTTTCGGTTTTATGTTTTGATCTTTGGTGGTGTGTACGTGTGGGGGTCAGGTTGGTGGTGGGCTGTTATTGGTGTTGGGGTTGGCGGTGTGTGTTTTATCGTGCTTGGTGTGAGTTGGTATGTTGTTGTGGGAGATGGTGGTCTCGCCGTGTTGTTCCATTGCTGTTGTGTTTGGGGCAGTGTGGAGGTGGGATCTGTTTCGGTGGTTTGGTTGTGGGTGTTGAGTGTGGTAATTTGAGTGGTCTGTGTTGGGGGAGGGGTATTTGTTGGTTGGTGTGGCTTGTTTGTGTGTTGGGTCTGTTTGGTTTCTCTGTGTTGGTGTCTGGGGTTTGGTGGGTGCTGCTGTTCTCTCTGTTGGGGTTATTGTGGGGGGGTGGGTGGTAGTATTGGGCAGCTTGGTTTTCGCTCTTATTGTAATTCCTGGTGTAGGTTGTTCGGACGTATCGTTGTTGGTGTTGTTGTTGTTTGCGGTGTGTTTGTGTTTGTATCTTGGGTGTTTTTGTTGTCTGGGTGATTTTTAGCTCTGAGTCGTTAGGGGTTGGGTGGTGTTGTGTGTCTGGTGGGGTTTGGTGTTGTCGCGGTGATTTGTTTGGTGTGGGTTGGTTTTAGTTTAGTGGTGATTTGGTATTCTGTTGGTTAGGTGTATGGGTGTTGACTGGGTGGTAGTTATTGGACGTAGGTTTATTGGTGACGGTTGGGGGAGTATGTTTGGTTGGTGTGTTGGGTTGGTGTTGGTGGGATCGGTGCGGTAGTTTTTCGGTTGTTAGTGTTTGGTTGGTTGTGTGTGGTTGTGTGGTAGTGCTGTGTATTGAGTTCGTCGTCCTGGTTAGGTGAGGTGTTGGAGGTGCTTTCAGTTCTGGTACTTGTGTGTTGGGCTGGTTTGTTGGATGACTGTGTTGTGGGCGTGGTCGCTGTCGGGTGGTGCTGTACTTTAGATGTTGTGTGTCGCTATGTGTTGGTTTTGTGTGTGATGATGGTGGGTGGTGTTTGTGTTGGTCGTGTTGGCCCGTATTGTGTTGCAGTGTGCGTGGTGTGTTTGTTGTTTTCGTCGTTGGTTGTTGGGGTGTGCTTGTTGTGGAATGTGTGTGGAACCACCAAGTGGTCGTTGATGGGTCGTAGTTATGTTTGTTTGTGCGTGTGAGTGTGGTGTAGGTGTTTCGGTGGTGTTGTTTTTGTTGTTTGGGTTCGGGGTGCTCGCTGTGTTGGGTGTTGTGTCTTGTGTGTGGTGTGAGCATGTGTCCTAGGGGGTGTATGGGTTTTTAGTTGTGCTGTGTTGGGTGCTTGGGGTAGTGTGGTTTGGTGGCCGTGAGTTGGAGGGTGTGGGTTGTTGGTGTGTTTGGGGTGTGAGGGGTGGGCTGGTATGATAGTGGTGTGGGGGGAGTGAAGGGTTGTGTCTGGTTGGAGTGTTTTCTGGGGGGTGGTGGGTGGTTTGGGGTTGAAGCTGTGTTGGTGGTTTTATGGTGGTTTTAGGTGTTAGTGTATGATTGTGTTGTGTGGGGTGTGGGGTGTTGGGGTTGTTGTTTGGTGAGTGTGGGTTGGTGTGTGTGTGTTGTGTTGTTGGTTATATTTTTGATGTGTGTTTGGTGGGGTTAATGGGTAGTGGTATGTCGTGCGGATCGGTGTGGTCGTGTTAGGGGTGAGTTGGGCTTTTAGTTGGGGTGTGTGTGTATGTGTTGTGTTGTGGATGGTTTTTTGAGTGTGTGAGTGATTTGGTTGGTTTGGTGTTTTGTTGGATGTTGGTGGTGTTGATGTGTTTGGTCCTGAATGGTACTGTGTGGTTTCGAGTAGTTGGGTGTGGGGTGTGTTGGATATGTGGTATGTTGTTGGCGTGTTGTGGGTAGATGTTGTTTTTCGGATAGGGGTGTTTTGTGGTTGTTTTGTGTGTGGTAGGAGGGGTATTAGGGTTTGTTTGTTAAGTGTTTTGTGGTCGGTTGAGTGTTGTGGTTTTTGATGTGTGTGTTGTTTGTGGTTTGGGCGTGGTTTTTTGTAGGTGGTTTTGTTGGTTAGGGTGGGTGGTGTTGTGTCGGTGCTGGAGTTGGGTGGGATGCGGGTGTGGGTTTTTGGGTCGACTGATGGGGCTGTGTATGTGAGTGTGAGTGTTTGTGTGGTAGTGCGGTGGCGGTGGTGGGATTGTTCGGATGTGGGAGTGGGGGTTGGTATTGTGATTGTTATTGTGAGTTGTGTTGTGTATGTGGGTGGTGGTTTTTGGTCTTGTGGTTGGGTTCGTCGTGTCTTTGCGGGTGGTGGCGTTGGTTGGTGGTTTTGTCGTGTGTGTCTGGGTTTTGGTGAGGGTTGTGTGTTGTTGATTGTGGATAATGGTGGTATGGTCGGGTGGTTGTGGGGCTTGGTTAGGTGTGGCCACTGGTGGTGTTTCAGTCGTGAGTTTTGGGTTGTTTGTTGGTGTTTTGGTTTTTTGGTGTGGGTGTAGGTGGTTCGCCGTTTGTTGTAGTTGTGTGTGTTGGTGGTCTTGCTTTGAGATCTTGTTGGTTGGTCTTGGTTGGTATGTGTGTGGGTGGTGTGGTTGTGGTTCGTTAGTGGTCTGTCGTTGGTGTGGTGGTGGTGATGCCGGTGGGGTTTTGTGTTTTGGTTTTGGCATGGTTACTGGAATTCGGGTGTGGTTGGTAGTCGGCTGGGGTGTGTTTGGAGTTGTGTGGGGTTGGGTAGTTTGGGTGTTAGGATTGAGGTTGTGTGTTTTTGGGTGATGTGTTGGGTTCAGTGGGCTGGGTGTCGGTGAGGTCGGTGCTAGGTGGTGCATGTGTGGGTATGATGTGTTCCGGGGGTTTGTTTAGGTGGTCGATGCAGTTGGGTTTTTTTGAGTGTGTTGGTGTAGTGTTTGTTGTTGTGTTTGAGTATTTGTCTGTCTGGGGTGTCTTTAGGTGGTGGTGTTGTTGTTTGTTTGTGTTCGTCGGAGTTTTGTGTGGTCGTAGTCGCGCCTGTGTAGTGTTGGTTTGAGTATTGTGTAGGGGTGTAGTTGTTGGTTGTGTGTCGAGTTTAGTGGTTGATAGTTGGGGTTATTGTTTGGTAAGAGGGTGTGGAGTAGTTGTGTTTTATGGGTTAGTGTGGGTGTCGTTGGTTAGGAGGGTTTGTTTTGTTTGCCCTCGTTCTGTTGTGTTTTTTATGTGGGTTAGTTGTTAGAGGGGGGTTGGTGTGGTGTGGTATGTGTGGTTGTGTTAGTGGGGGGTTGGGGTTTGCTTAGGTATTCCGAAGGTCGTTATTGGTAGGTGGTTGATCTGGGTGTGGTTTTTGGGTGTTTGGTGTGGGTGGGTTAGTTTTGTGTTTTGTGTGGTTTGGTTGTGGGGTTGTTTTGGTTGTTGTGTTGGTGTTTATGTGGAGGGAGGTGATGTCTGGTGTAACATGTTGTGTTTGTTGTAGGGTTTGTCGTGTTCTATTAGGGGGTGTGTGTTGGTTGGTGGGGGGTTTGTGTTGCGTGTGGGGTTGTGTTGGTGGGTGGGTGTTGTGTAGGTGGTTGTGTGTGTTCGTGTCCGGTTGTGTGTTTGCGTCGTTGGTTTCGGTGTAAGTGGTTATTGGTTGGATTTTTTGTTAGGGGGTGGGTGTGTGGTGTGGTGTGATGTGGTGAGTTTGGTTGTGGGGGTTAGATTTGTAGGGTGGGGTTTTGTTTGGGTGTGTGGGGTGTGTTGGTATGTTGTTGTTGTTTTTTTTTGTGGTGTGACGGTTTTGTGGGTGTAGGTGAGTGGGTGTGGCTGCTGGAAGTGGGTGTGTGTGGGTCGGTCTGGAGTGGTGGTAGTGGAGTGGTGTGTGTGCTCCAGTTTAGTTTTATGTTTTGTTGTTTTGCTTGGGTTTGTGTGCTGGTTGATGTGGATTGGTGTGTGTGGTGTGAGGTGGGTGGGTAGGGTTGGTGGTGTTGTGTGATGTTTGTCTAGGATTGTTGTATAATTGTAGTGTCATTGGTGTTGTTGTTGACGGTGGTGTGTGTGGTTTTGTAGTTGTTGTGGTTTGTTGGTGCGGTGCGGCTTGTGTGTGTTATGTCTTGTTGTCATGATTTAGTTTGTGTTTGGGTGGTGGGGGTTTCTGGTTTGTTTAGTGTAGGGTTGTGTGGTTTTATGGTTTGGGGGTTGTTGATGGTGTTGGAAATGGTGTGGGTTAGGGTTTTTTGTGTAATGTGTGCTACGGTGTTTTTTGGTGTGGGGGTGTTACATTATGTGGTGTGGTTGGTTTGTTTGTGTGGTGTGGGAGTTGTAGGGTGGTTGTTGGGTAGGGGGTCGTTGGAGTGTGTGTTTGGTGATTGGTTGGTTTTGGGTTTTGTGTTGTCTTGGGCTTGTGGGGGTGAATGTAGTTATGTTTCGGCTGTGGTGGTGATGGTTTGGCTTGAGTTTGTTTTCGGTGTGGTTTTCTGATGTGTTTATGGTTTGGGTGGTAGTTTCAGTGGATTTGTTTGTGTCTGGGATTTTGTGGGTGGGGTGTTCCGTATTTATGTTTGTTGTGTTGGGGTGGTTGCTGACGTTGGGTTGTTGTTTTTTTTTTTATTTTCTGGTAAGGGTGTGTTGTATGTTGTTGGTTTTCGTGTCGTTTTGTGTGGTTGTGGTGTTCGAATTGTGTGTCGCTGCTTCCATCTTGTTGGGTTGTTTTGGTGGGTGGTGTGGGCTTGTCGTTGGTGGTGTTTTGATTAGGTTAGATATTTTTGGTTTGGGTTGGTTGGTTGGTGGGTGTTGGTTTGTTGTGGTTGTGTGGATGGTGAGGTGTGGGGGTGGATGGGGGTGTAGTTGGGGTTTCGGTTGGTTTGGGGTGTTTATATTGGTGTTTGGTTTGTGTGGGATTGTTGGGGGTGTGTGGTGTGGGTATTGGTGTGTGTTTGTGTTGGTGTGTGGTGTGTTTTGGTTGGTTGTAGGTGGTGTGTGGTTCTTAATGGGTTAGTAGGTGTGCGGTTTCCGTGTTGTATGTGTGGTGGTTGTTTGGGTAGTGTCGTGGATGGGAGTATCGGTGGGGGTGGGTGTGTGGGTGTGGTTTTGTTGTAATGGTTTTGGTGGTACGGGTTTGATGTGATCGTTCTGTAGGAGGGTGATTTGTGTGATTGGTTGGGGTGGTCGGTGGTTTGTTGTATTTTGTGTTGACTCGCTTGTGGTAGTGGTTATTGGTTTGAGTGGTGAAGGTGTGTGTGTGTGGGTGCCTTCGGAGGTTGTGGTTTGTTCTATTTGGTCGTGTGTGTGTGGGTGTTTGTGGGTGATGTGGTTTGGTTGGTGGTGGTGTGGTTCGTTTGGGTGTTGGGTGTGGGTGTGTTGTTGGGTTCAGTAGTGGTGTGGTTCGTTGGGGGTGGATAGGTTGGAGTTTTTCAGTGGGGATCTTGGGTTTAGTTGTGTGTTGATGTTGTGTGTGGTGGTTTGGCGTGTTCGTGTTGGTGGTTTTGACTTGTGTGGTGTCTGTGGTTTTGGAAGTTTTGTGAGGGTGGGTTGGTGGTGTTTGTGGGAAAGTGGGTTTTTTGTGTGGGTGTGTGATTCCTCCTCCCCCCCTCCTCTTGGATTTTGTGTGTGGTGTGAGGTTTTGTTGGTGGGTGGGTGTTGTGTGTTTTTTGTGTGTTTGGGGTCTGATGTTGGTGTTCTCGTAGGTAGATGTTTGGGGTGTCGTGACGTGTTCTGTGTCGTGTGCGTCCGTTGGGAGTATTGATGTTTGTTTGTTGTTTGGTTGGTTGTCCTGAAGTGGGGCTGAGGTTGGTGTGGGTTGTTGATTGTTTGTGGTGGGATTTTTATATTTAGGTTGTTTTGGTCCTTTGTGTTTGAGGGTGGTCATGCTAGTCCTGTTCGTGTTGGTTGTGGTTAGGTGAGTTAAGGGTGGTGGTGCGTGTGTGTTGGTTGGGTTTAGTTGGGTGTGGTTGTGTGTTGCTTATTTTAGTGTTAGTGTGAGACGTGTTGGATAATGTGGTTGTAGTTTTGTGTTGTTGTTGTTGTTGTTGTAAGGGTTTTTGTGTGTGGTGGTAGGTGGTGTTGTGTTGCGTGTGGTTCTGTTGTGTGTTTTTTAGTGTGTTTTGTGGGGGGGTTATGGATTTAGGAGTGGTGGCGGGGTGGGGATGTCTGGTGATTGGTGTGGTTGTTTGGTGGGGTTTATGGTTTGTGGGGGCTTGGATGGTAGGTTGATTGTGTTTGTGTGTGGTGTGTAGTGGTTTTCGCGTTGTTGTGTGGGTAATGTGTGGTGCTGTTAGGTTGTTGGTGTGTAATGTTTAGTGTTAATGTGTGCGCGGTTTATTGTGGGTTTGTGGTGTTAGTCTTGCCTATTTTTCTGTCGTGTGGTCTGTTCTGTTGTGTTTGTTGGTTCGTGTCGGGTGGTGGTTGTAGGTCGTTAGTGGTCTGGATTCCTTAGTTTGTATTGTTTGGTGAGTTAAAGTTGCGGTGTGTGGGGGTGGGGTAGTGGTGGTTTATTATTTTTATGGTGGTCGGTTGGGTGTTGGTATTGTGTGGTTGGGTGGTGGTCCGGTTTTGGTTGTCTTGGTTGGGGTTAGGTGTTTATGAGTTTTGGGTTGGGGTGTTGTGGTGTTTGGGTTGATAGTTTATTGTTTTTGTGTTCTCTTTTTGTAGCTGGGTGTTTGTTGAGTTCATGGATGAGGTGGTGTTTTGTGTTGTGATTGGTGGGTGTGTGGGTGGTTTTTGGTTCACTTGGTGTTGGGTGTGTTGGTGGTAGGTTTCGTTGCTTGGATGGTTGGTGGGTTCTGTGCGGTGGGTTGTGTGTTGGTTTGTGTTGGGGCTGTTTGTCCCGAAGATCTGGTGTTGAGAAGTGTTGTGGTGGTTTTGTCCGGGGTGTAGTGTTTGGGTATAGTAGGCGGGGCGTGGGGTGGTGTTCGGTTTGGTGTTGTTGGTGTGTGTGTGTGTAGTGTAGGTGGGCTTAGTCATGTGTCGTTTTGATGTGTTTTTTGTGTATGGGTGTTGTAGGATTGGCTTGGGGTGCTTATTTGGAGGTTGTTGGGGTCTTGTTTGGGGTTGGGGGTGGGGTTTTGTTTTTTTGTTGGTGGGTGGTGTGGTTTCTTGGCTGTGGCGTGTGGTGTGGGAGTTGGATGGTGCTGTGTGGGTGTGTGTTGGTTTTGATGTTGTTTTTGAGTTGTATGTTAGGTTTGGTTTGTGAATGAAGTGTGGGGTGCTGGTGGGGTAATGGTCGTTGTGTAGAGTTGTTGTGTCGGTGTTTTGGGGGGTTTAGGTTATTGTCGGTGGTCGTGGTAGTTTGGGGTATATTTGGATGTGTATGGTGCGTATTTGGTGTGTGGAGTGTTGGTGGTCGGTGGTAGGGGTGTCGATGTGGTGTGGAGGTGTGATGTGTGTTGAAGTTCGAGTGAGTGTTCTTTTATGAGTCGGACTGTGGTTTAAATGTGTGTAGTGTAGTGGCATAGAGTGTGGTGTTGTGTGATGTATATTAAAAGTTATAATTAGTTTAGGATTAGATAGGTTAAAGGTCTTTTGTAGTTTTTTTTATTATTAGTAATAAAGACTACGTGGGGAGTGTGATGAGTAAGAAGTAGGACGTTATTTGGAGTTTGTAATGGAGTGTGTATTGTGATATTTTAAAAGAGAGTAAAAGGTAATTGTTATGTGAGATACTTAAATATGGTTTGGTGTTGTGTTTGGTAATATGAAGAAATTGGTTTGTTATTATGTTTGTATTCTAGAATGATTGATGTGAAATAGTATTGTTTTTATGTATAAGAGTTATGTGATATATTATGTTAAATATGTGGTGGATTAAGTAGTACATAAGTTATGGTGTTTGAGGTGGAACGTTAAATGATGGTTAAAGAGATAGAAGTGATGGATATGTGGTTAAAGTTTTTTTGAATATTTTGTATAGTTTGTATTAATTGTCTTGTATAATTAATTTAATTTTATTTTAATTAAACTATTAATTATTATATCAAATAAATTAAATTTATTATTTAAATTATATTATAATAATAAATTTTATTATAAATTATTTTACAAAAATATTAAATATAATTTTATTTTTAATTAAATAAATTTTAATTTTTTATTTATTAAATTAATAATTATTTTAAATTAAATCTATAATAATTTTTATTATTATAATTTAAATTTTCTAATTTATAATATATAAATATAAAAATAAATTTTTATAATTTTAAGTTTAATAAAATTATTTAATAATTATTTAATATATTATTGATATTTATTTTTAATTGTTTAACATTATTAAATCCTATATCTATATTAATAATTACTTAATTATTTAAAATAATAATATTAATATTATACAAAATTATATAATAATATTAAATATATATATATAAATACCAATAATTAAATAATTTTAATTAAAATTTTATACATTTATATTAAAATATTATAATATTATTTTTTTATAAAAATATTAAATATTATATATTTTTACAAATAATATTATTATTTTATTACTAATATTTTATAAATTATTATAATAAATAATTGTCTATATTTAAATTTTATTATATTTATATTATTAATTATATATAATTAAACAATAATATACCATATAATTAAAATTATATATATAAATTATAACATAATTTAATTTAAATTAATACAATATAATTTAAATAATAAATTTAAAAATATATATTTAAATATACAATTTATTTATAATATTAAAATAAATACTAATTATATTTTTATTTATATATTAAACAATAAATAATTTAATTATAATTAATTAATAAATAATATTATTTAATAAATAAATATATAACTATATTATGTATAAAAAAATAATAATATATTTATAATTTATATATAATAATAAATTAATTAATTAATAATAAAACTAATAAATTTAATATAAATCATATAGAAATAAATATTTTTATATAATTTATAGAAATTAATAATAAATAATTAATAATTAAATATTAATTATTAATTAAAATCAAATATATTAAATAAAAATATATATATTTAATTATAATAAAAATATATATTAAATTATTTTATTAAGTATTGTAATTATAATTAAATAAAATATTCTATATTAATTTAATTAATATAAAAATATATTATATATTAATATATTTAATTCATAATATATTAATTATATTATACATTTATAAATTAAATTTACCTTAAATATTAATAATTAAATTATATTATTAATTATTAAATATATTATATTATTTAAATTAAAATTATTTATAATATTTATTTATATTTCATATTAATATATCAAAAAATTATAATTATTTATATAAATAATAAATAATAAAAAATATTGAGAAATATCTTTTTTCTATTATATAAATTAATATTATATAATCATTTTAATAAATAAATATTAATAAATAAAAATAATTTTAATTAAAATTATTATAATATAATTTATTAATAATATAAATAATTTATATTAAATTTTATAATTTTATAATTAATATATTTATATAATTTATAAATTATTTTTATAAATTTATAAAATTAATAATTAATAAATATATAATAATATAAAATATATATAAATTAATATTAATATAAAATAATAAATAGTATATTTTATATTAATATAAATTAAATTCTTCAAAAAATATATTTTATTATAAATTAATTATTAAAAATTTATAATTTAAAATTTTTTTTTTTAATAATATTAATATTAATATATAATAAATAATAATAAATAATTATATATAAATTAAATAATTATTTAATATATTTATTATTAAATTTATTAAAAAAAATATTTTAATATATAATAATATTTTTACTAATTATAAATATATAATATAAATTTAAGTTAAATATTTAGCATTATTTTATATATATAAATTATCTAATTTTAATTATTTATTATATTATACATTAATTTAATTAATTAATATTATTATAATATTCTATCACTATAAAATATAAAATTTTAATATGTGATATATAATATTTTATATATTATATATTTAATAATATTTAAATTTTTAATACTATATTCATTATAATATTTCACTTATTTTTATATTTTAATTATAATATTAATATAAATATAAATTTATAAATATTAATTAAATTATTATATTAATTATTATATAAATAATATATAGTATAATTTATAACACTATATTTATAAAATATATAATAATATTAAATATTTAAAAAATAAATAATCAAATAATTACATATATACTTTATTTAAAAAATTTTACATAAATATTAATTACAAATATAATACTACAAAATAATATTTATTTATTTTAATATATTTTTAATTAATTATATTAATTTAATTATATTATATAAATATTAAATATATATAATTAATTTATATATATAAAATTTTATAATAAAACAAAAATTATAAATCTTTTTTAATTCATTTATAAAAATCAATTTAATTATATATTATAAATGAAATAATAAAATATAAATAAATATATATTTATAATATATATTCTTTTTATTATAAATTATTATTATATATATATCATTATATTACTAAATTTTATATTATATTAATAATTATTAAAAAATTCTACATTATATAAATCTATATTTACTATTTATATAAATTATACTAATAAAAATACATTTATTTATTATTTTTTATTATATTAAATTAAATTAATAAATTTAAATTATATAATATATTTTATATCTCTATTATAATAAAAACATTAAATAAAATTATATAAATAATTAATTATATAAATAACTATAAATAATTATTTTATATAAAATAATAATATTAATAATCATAACATTATTATACATTATTATATTAATTTAATTTAATTAAATAAAAATTAATATCTTTATTTATTTAATAATTATAAAATATATAATTATTATATATAAATTTAATTATATTTTAATATTAAATAATTATTATTATTATATATCTAATATTTAAAATAAATACACCATAATTAATATAAAAATAAATTTAATATTAATATTAACAATATATAAATAATTATTAAAATATTATTAATGCATATTTATTATTTAAAAATTTATTAATAAATAATAAAAAAAATAATATTATATATAAAATATTTATAAATATATTCTATATCTTAAATCTTAATAATAATTATCATATTAATTTAATTTAACAAAAAAATTTTAATTATATATATTTTATTTTTCAATATAATTATTTTTATAATAATTAAAACATAATAAATTATTTAATTCAATCAAATACTTAAACATATAATTTATAAAATAATTAAATTATATATAACTTTTATATTAAAATTCATTAAAATATATATTTATATTTTATAAAAATATAATAAATATATAATTTAATATATTATAAATAAATCAAAATAAATAAATTACTATTAAAATTTATTATATAAAATCTTTAATATTAACAATACTTTAATTAATTTATTATATTTATATTTTAAATATATTTTTTAAATTATAATAATCTTATCCAATAATATTAATTATATAAAATATTATTTTTAATATTTTATTTTTTACTAATAAAAATATAAAATTATATTAAATTTATTATTAAATAATTATTAATTAATCTATATATATCTTAAAATAATTATTATAATTATTAATTTCAATAAATTTTATATATAATTTTATTATAAAATTAATTAAAATTATAAAATTAAACTTATAAAAAAAAATATATAATCTGACATAAAACATAATAATATATTAAAATTAAATTTTATAAAAATATAATTAAAAATATATAATTATAATAATATATATCATATATAATTTAATTATTATTTACATATATACTATAATAATTTTTTTAATTTTATTATATTATTTTATCTTACATATTAAATTTACAAATATTTTAATTATTTAATATTATATAATTTAATTTTCATATTTAAATTTATATACTAAAAATTAATAAAAAAAATATATTATAAATAATGTTTATAAATAATATATTATTTTAATATTTTATATATAACTTTATAATTATTATTTTTTAATTATTTAATTTTTAACTAATATAATATATATCTATTATAATAAAAAAATAATCATAATTAAATAATAAATCTTAAATTAATTAATAATATTTTATACTTATTATTAAATATAATAATTAAAATATTAAATATAATTAACATTTATTTATCATTATTAATATATATATGAAACAATTAATATTATATTTAATATTTTAATTTATATAAATATAAATTAAAATAATTATAAAATATTTAAAATTTTAACTCATATAATATTAAAATAAAATATTATTCAACATTTATTATATAATATAAACATAATAATATTTAATATATTTATAAATAAAATTAAATTTAATATAAAAAATTCTTTATTATATAAATTTATAAATTAATATATATCTATAAATTATTTATTATCTATATAATATAATTTATAATTATAAAAAATAAAATGATTAAATTATATATTTTAATATATAAATATATAATACTATTATTATTAATTTATTTAATTTACATTATTAATATTATAATATATATAATTAAATAAACTATATATAATAATTTTTTATATAATAAAATATAAAATATAAATATTATTTTTATTTAAATATTATATAAAAAATATTATAATTTTTTATTATATATATAATATTAATATATCTTAATATAAATCACACTTATAAATTATAACAATTAATATATTTATTAATATATAAATATTATAATATCATATATCTATAAACTATTATAATATTAATTATTATAACTTTATCTACATTAATTATATTATAAAAATATTATAATAAAATCTAATATTAATCTATAAACCATTTATATATAATTAAATTAACTATACATATTAATTATAAACATAATAATAAATCAATACTAAAATTATTTTAAAAATTCATTTTTTTTATTTATATTATTCTATAACCATTCTTTTAAACTAATATTATTATAAATATATTTAAAAATTAATATCCATCTTATTATTTAATCTAATAATATCTTTAATTTTATTCACAATTAAATTAAAATATATTATATATTATATAATAATGTATTAATATATATCATTCTTATCTAATTTTAATTAAAATAATCCCTACTAATATAATATTATTTTTCACCATCTTATCTTTTTAAAATTAAAATTATAAATATATATATTATACAAATATTTATAATTATATATTTCTATTAATTATATAAATAAATTTAATTATTAATTTAATTAAAACAATATCTAATAAATATTATAAATATATATATTTTTAATATTAATCACTATATATCAATTATATTTTTATCATTATTATATATAATAATATCAAATTCATTTACTTTACATAAAAAAAAATATATATATAACCTATATAATAATTTACTATATCTTAACTTCTATCATACTAATATATTTAATTATTAATATAATAATTATTTCTATATATTATAAAAAATATAAATAAAATAATCTAATAATATAATTAATCATATACTTAATATTTACTATATATCTATATTTATAAAATAAACTATATAATGAATAACTATACATATAAATATTTATTATAATAATCCTAAAATAATATTATATCATTTAAATTTAAAAATTTATTATATAATATATTATATAAAATATATTAAAATATTATATAATATAATAATAATAAATAAATATTCTAATTATAACTTATATATTATACCTTAATAAATACTTATAATAATATCTAATATCTAATATAATAATAAACATTCTAAAAAAAATAATTATATATACTAAATTAATATTTAATTAATAAACAATATACTTTTATAATATTTTACCTATAATATATATATTAAAAATATTATTAACTTATATTTTATAAAATTATTATTATTTAAATATTAATTTATATAATATTAAATTTATAATATTTATACAATTAATAATTACTTTAAATTTAAAATTATAAATAAATTAAAAAATAAACTAAATATATACTATATTAATAAAATATATATACAAATATAATATGCTGTGCAGCCTTGTTAGTGACTTTGGCTATTCACTTAAAGCTGGGATTCCTAAGTTTCAAACCACACACACATACAAAAACATCCATGTTACTATTTCCTTGCTCAAAACAGTTTGCTTCCATCATTTCCACATGTATTTAGCCTCTGTCACATAAGCTATTTCAGACCGTGAAACTTGCCCAATCAAATCTTATCCCATCACCTTGAATACTGACCCAATCATCTCTTACAAGTATATACAAGATAACTTGTTTTTAGTACAGTTTTTTACTTTTGCAATCTTCAATGAACGTAGGTATCCCAGCTTAATAAAATAAAAATAGAAAAACACAAACAAATCAAATTAACTTGTTTGCCCTAATGTGACATCTGAAATAATTAGAGGTTCAGTGTTCCTCTCATCTTTAACATGTGGACTGAAGTATGGTAACAATGCCCCAACAAAATTCCCTTTTCTATACGAGTAAATATGCGTCTTATTAGCCACATCGTAGAACGACAGCAGCCCTTCATCATAGTCTAAAAACACTCCCACCTTCTCAGGTTTGTGATTCAGCTCCACACAGAGAGGGGGCGCTGTGAGGGCTGCATACTTATCCCCCTCGTAGTGAACCATGGCCCAGTAGCCACTGTTCGGGCTCAGTGATATCTTGCCCTTGCGTTCAGCTTTAGCCGACGCTACGCCCAGGTCCCAGCCGGTCTTAGCCCCAACCTGCACCTCCCAATAGGCCCTGGAGCCAACGCCCAGCTCCTCACGGCCCAAAACGCTGCCGAAAATGTCAAATCTTTCAGAGCCATCGCAGTCTTCCTGCTCCATTTCTCCGTAAATCGCTTCTTTATGGTCTTGGGACAGAACCAGACGCTTGTGGCTCGTATTGGGGTCCAGAGTCAAGTCCACTGTCACGGAGAAATTGAAGTTTGAGAAGTTAAACAGATGAGTTGTAGAATTGCAATTAACATCATGTTGAGTTGACATTGTATATTAGCACAAGCTCGCTGCAGCCAATTTCCTTAATTTGGATTTTGTTCTGACTCAGTTAGCGTAACAGGGACAGACATGTTGCTAACATAGTTGCTAAGGCAAGTTTACTACACAGATAAAGCCTACTGATTATTGTTATGCCTCATCTCTGGGTTTACAAAAAGGAAATCAAAATATATATATAAAAGTCAATCACTTAAAGAGCAATAAACCACGGAACCATTACGCCAAAAAATGGTGAGCGTGACACATACTGAGTTTTGGAGTTAACTTTTCAGTGTAACTCAACAGTCAATAATTCGTCCATGAGCACTTCTCTAATGGCCGTCTTTGAGCTTGGGGATTAGCATAGCCCATCTATTTGCAGTCTATCTTTAACACTGGGTAAAGGATAGATAAATTAGTGCATTTTAATGCCACATTTTGTAAATACCAGTAAAAGGCCTATGCATGTGGAAGCTCGGGATGGATTTTTCTAGAACCAATCTGTTTTGAGAGCGAGGACCGCGATTGTGTCGGTTCTATTTAGTAAGTGTGAACGGTCAACTAATAACTTACAGGTCTATTGCATGAAAAAGAACATACCTGCAAATTTGGGAAGTCTCTGGAGTTCTGCAAAAAGAAGGTTCCTGATTAACATTGTAATCATTCTAAAGTTCTTCTGAGCCTGAGAGTTAAGCTTTATCTTACCCAGAGCCGTGAGCGTCTCCATCTGCTCTTGAATCTGCTCCAGTGCTTCATGTGTGACTTTTCTCAATGAGCCAAAACTTACAGATGTGTCCAGCTCAATAGTTGTCCAGTCTTTGAACCCTGGTTCTTTTAGAGAATTATATTTCTGTAGAAAAAAAGAGCACAAGAAATTAAGTAAATGAAATAACTCCTGTAGATATTGCTGTAACAAATCCTCATAGATTTGAAAGATTTTATATAAGATAGATTTTATATGAAATTCAAGTTATTTTTGTGGAGCCAAAATTCACAAAAGGCGTCGTATCAGAGGACTTTACAAAGTCGTCGATTCACAAACAAGACATCCAAGAATCAAACAGTTCGATCACAGGAAATGCAATAATAAGCACATAGAAGAGAGGGAGAGGGATCTGCTCCCATGGATGGTCAGGCTGTAGATCCAGGATTCAGATGGAACTCATAATAAAATAAGAATCAAAATTGATTGTAGAAAAGTAGTAATGGTTCAAAGTATCCATATACGGTACTATCAGAATTTGTTGTGCCCCTTCTTTCTATTTTTTCTCTAATGAAAATTCGTATCAAATTGTGTATATTATATTATATATATTTTTTTATCAATATCACAGACTCATCTCTGGTATTTATTCAGATCTTTTATCTCCGGAAAAAGATAAACAAACAAAAAAACCATTTCACATTTATAAATGGCTGATGTAGCAGAAATTTCTCAATACAAATCCTTAGGAAAATGAGATCACCTGCAGAAAGAGAACGTGATCCTCAAAGGTAGAGATGTCCTGGAGCTCCTTGATGGTCTTCTTGTGTGCGTCCACCTCGTTCTTCAGCGTGTCAATGACCTCGCTGGCCTCTTGGTTCAAACGCTGCCTTCGCTCTTCTACTGGTCCCAGAGCTTTGGCCTGAGCTGCCTCCAGAGTGGCCTTGACCTCAGAGAAGACCGTATCTATGTCCCACCACTCACTGTCCAGCTGATCCTGAGCACAACGGACAAGAGCACAGTTTGGTTCCTTTTCAGTTTTTCATGAACACTCTCTTGCTCTTTCTGTCAGACTGGCCGCATCTGGCAACAACAGCTGATAAGAGACACGTCAAAACTATCAGAGAGGTCTACCGCCGAAACTTTACACTCTTTGTCTAATTGAAAGAACCTTCTAGGCCTTAAACACATAATGACATAATGAACTTTCTATATTGCATTTTCTTATTGAACTGGGCCAAGAGTGGATGGAAGACTGAACTAACAGAGCTGAGGAGTTCTGTTAGTTCAGTCTTCCATCTCCGAAAGTTGGGATCTTGTCCGCCCGTCCTGTTGCGTCAACAGCGCAGCACGTGCTCAGCCATAATACTATTACCTGGACCAATGCACATCTTTGCACAGTCTGTACACGTGGCAAAGACACTAAGACGCTGCAATGCATGAAACAGACTTGGATTACGAGCCTTGTTTCCATGTCTTCTGCCGTGTGTCCTTCTGAAACTGATCTAAAACTCAAAAAGATGGGGTACCCTCGTGACGCTTCCCTCACATTGATAATGCATGTTTGAGCTCAACAGTACTGGGTTAAATCATAAAATACAGTCCCTACTTCCTCTCCTAGCTTTGACGGTGAAAAACAAAACAAATCTTTGCTTCTACACACCTTGAAGATTTTCTGGGATGCATTAATCGTGTCTATCTTCTCCTCCCTCTTCACAATGCTCTCCTTCAGTTCTTCAATAATCTTTTTGATTTCCGCCTGTTGGACACATACTGTATGGCAATGCCTTGTTGCATCTAGAATGAATAATTTGGCCTTTTTATTACCTTCTTGCTGCTACATGCATCTTCAGTGGACACCACCCCCTCCTCTCCCACCTCTTTACACAGCACACAGATGCACTTCCTCTGCACTCTGCTGTACAGCTCCAGGGGGCGCCCATGAGCCAGACAAGCCCTTTGGTCCATGTCCTCTACAGGATCAACCAGTTTGTGCCCGCTGAACCTACAGAAAAAAACAACATGAAGCAACTTATCATGATTTCATTGTCTCACGTTAATGCCTTATACTATTGTACATTTCTCCATTGTTAGTTTCTTAAATTATCCAGTGTTGTCATTGTTCATTAGATAATTGCTACACACCTTGGGTTTACCAAATGATTTTGGACATCATCATCGCAGTAAGATGTGAGGCAAATCAGGCAGGACTTTGTGGCGGCCATTTTGGTGCAAATATCACAGCGAACTTGTCCAGGCCTCCCTTTAAATCTTCTGGGATCACAATCCTCTTCCATCTTCTTGTCTTCTTCTAGTCTCTTTTCTCTCTCTTCCTCTTCCTCCTTTGCTTTTTTATCCATCACCATCTGCTCCACAACATCCCTCAGCACAATGTTGACCACAGGAGTTCGGTAGAGTTCAGTTTTGCATAAAGGACAAGCCGGGTTCAACAGGAACCTCAAACTCCTGTCCAGACATGCTTTGCAGAAGGAGTGACCGCAGCTGGTGGTCACCGGATCTTTAAACAGGTCTAGGCAAATGGAGCAGGACAGTCGCTTCTCCAAAGAGTTCACAGGATACGGTGAGGCTGAACGGGAATCCATATCTGGAAGAATATTAACGTTATTAAAGCTGGGATATCTGATTTTGAAGTAGAGGAAAGTAGATTTTTAATAAACTTGTTGCATTTTCACATCATGCTTCAGACGTGGTAAATAGTTAAAAATGCATTTATTCTTTGATTCTCCAATGTGCTTCATTGGAGCTAGACAAATATGACTTTACGTCTAGTAATGTTTAAGTAAAATGTACCTTTTATGTTTCTCTTAGTAATTAGTTAATTGTAAAACATACTATTGAGAAATCAGATTTCCCATTAAAAAAGGTACTCTTTCACTTAAAGGGACTGACTCTTCCCTCTGACGAAAGAATGTCCTACACTATCAACTTTTCAAACTGCACCTTTAACTGTCTAATACAGGATCTCTGTATGTTTACACTGGATAGGGTATTACTAGCTTAGAGTTGTCCCACCCTCGGGCACAGGGGGCGCCCGTCGTACGGCTAACTAAATTCACGTGGGCTACCCAGAAAAAAGTCCCATAGATATCAATGTTAACTAAAACAGCAAGACCTCAGCTGACAGAGAACTACAGCTTTCATAAAGATCAGAATTTGTGGGGATTTTAGTGTCCCTTGTCATCCTGAACTTTTTTCTTCTTAAATCCTTCTGTTTTCTTTAAATCCACACTTTACTGCCACAAACTAAGCTCCTTTCCTTCCCGCTCGGACTCTGCTCTACCGCTGTTCTGATCAGCTCTGATTGGTCTCTCTGTGCACGTGCATGAGAGCCACACATGCATATTTGGCGCAATGCATCATGGGAGTTCATCCACTGCGCAGAACCGGGAGGACCAGACTATGCCCAAATATAGGTGAGTTCCGCTGCTCTCTCAGTCCCCGTGAAGTCCCATGCGCTACTAAGCAAAAGCCATTAATTTGAATAGGGCGCCATCTTGGATCACCGGGGCTTGATGCTTACAAGTTACCATTTATCAGGCCATCCAGTTTACTGTGAAATTGTAGTTGTATTTTTTACTCTGAACACTGGGGGGAAGTAATTATGTGCATTTAGCATTTCCAGTGTTATACATTATATACTTTGGCTCAAAGGCCAATTCTCTACCAACTGAGCCACTGTCGAATACAATTCAGTGCACTTCCCAACACTGGCATTTTACACACTTCTCTGGAGACTAAAATAAGATTTCTACGTCAAATCAACATCTTAATGGTTAGGTGGGATCCCGGTTCAGCAGCAACTTCATTGACACAAAAACCACAAAAAAACAGAAATGAGTTTAGTCCGGTTCACAAATATGCAACTGTGTGAAAAGCCTTTCACTTCATGCAGAAACAAGACACCTCCAGAAGTCATGCATCCCACACATAATTGTTTTATGGGTTTGTGATAAAAAACATGCAGCATTCTTCTTACCTCAAATTCACAGAGACTGCGTTCAGATAAAGGAAGTTCCTGTTGAACATAGATTCAAGCTGCGTCTTTCTTAACTTTCATTTCTGTTTAAATGCCCTCCCCTTTTCTCTTGTTTTAATCCACTGTTTGTGTCACATGCAAATTATGAATCTTGTTGGAAGGAGTGGCACAAGTTCAAACTGGTTCTGTTTGTGTCTACTTACAAGATAGATAGATAGATAGATAAATACTTTATTCATCCCAGCGAGGGGAAATTCAGTTGTCCTTAGTAGCAAAACAGCGGATAAAAAAAGACAATACATATAAATATAATAAAAAAATTAAAACCCCCACACATTTACATCAGCGATGACCGTTATAAAATCGAATTGCAGCAGGGATGAAGGATCTCCGGAAGCGCTCAGTCCTGCTGTACACGGGGAGGAAACGATCCGATCGATTGCTCTTCTGAGCAGACAGAGTCCCATGCAGAGGGTGCCTGGAGTTACTAAGGATGGCCTGGACCTTTCTCCCCATGCACCTCTCAACCACTGCCTCAACAGAGTCCAGTGACCCCCCAACCACTGACCCCGCCCTCTTAACCAGTTTGTCCAGCCTGTTACGGTTTTTGACCGATATATTGTTGCCCCAACTAATGACAGCATAAAAGAGAACAGCAGCCACAACAGAATGGTAAAACATAGACAACATTTGATTACACACATCAAAGGACTTCAGCCTCCTCAGAAAAAAGAGCCTGGTCTGACCCCTTTTGTAGAGCGCCTCTGTGTTGATGTTCCAGTCCAATTTATCATCCAGGTGAACACCTAGATATTTGTATGTGTGCACAACATTGTGATTATTATCAAAAAAGACAAAAAAATACCAAAGTTGGGAACAGAGAAAGGCTTCAATGTATTCTTGGAACTCTAAAAATAAACAGCATAAATAATTAAGGTATATTTAATTCCATACTACAAAACATTCAGGGCACAATAATCACATCTCCACAGACACAACAGCTTCAAATGACCTCAAACATTAAAACAAATACATTCAAAAATCACTCACAGTCACGGTAAAGACATTAGAGGCATAAATAAAAGGCGAACAGATATCCGTTAGAATAGAACTAAGCTTTTCTTTAAAACAATCGCGTGTATATTTCCCTCATCATTTCATCATTTCAGGGCGTGATTGTTTGATGCATTGAGAACCCAAAGTGCACTTAGTTTGAACACATCGTTTTAATGACATAATGGAAGCGAGGGCCCAGTCTTTATCATCATGGAATAATTACAGACTAGTGCATATTATATACACAGATATATTTTCTAAAAGCTGGGGTACCCGTTTCCTGAATAATATATTGTGCTTGACCCAACAGAAAGTCTCGCTAAAGTAAAATGTGAAAAAATTCTATGTTGTTTTCATGGTATAAGAAAACATAGCATGTTTTTGCTGTTTATTTTTTATATATATATAAGTCACCTCCTGATATATATATATATATCAGGTCACCTCCTCTACACGGATGACATCAAGCTGTACGCCAAGAGCGAGAGAGACATCGACTCTCTGATCCAAACAACCAGGATCTACAGCCATGACATCGGGATGTCATTCGGGCTCGAGAAATGTAGCAGGATGGTGACTCGGAGAGGCAAGGTAGTCCACACAGAAGGGATCTCACTCCCAGAGGGAACAATAGCAGACGTTGAGGACAGTTACAAGTATCTCGGTATACCACAGGCAAATGGCAACCTCGAACAGGTGACGAGGAAAGCGGCAACTGCCAAATACCTCCAGCGAGTAAGGCAGGTCCTAAGAAGCCGGCTCAATGGCAAGAACAAGGCCCGGGCAATTAACAGCTACGCCCTGCCAGTGATCAGATACCCTGCAGGAATAATCAGGTGGCCAAAGGAAGAGATTCAGACCACGGATGTTAAAACTCGAAAGCTCCTTACCATGCATGGCGGGTTCCATCCCAAATCCAGCACCCTGAGACTGTACGTAAGCCGTAAAGAAGGAGGCAGAGGACTAGTGAGTGTGAGAGCCACTGTCCAGGACGAAACATCCAAACTCCATAACTACATCATGGAGAAGGCCAAAACGGATGACGTACTCAGTGAATGTCTCAGGCAGTGGCGAGATGAGGAGGTGCTGGAGGAGAGCCCATCATGGGAGAACAAGCCCCTACACGGCATGTACCACCGGAGCATAACAGAAGTGGCTGATCTCAAGAAGTCCTACCAATGGCTAGAAAAGGCTGGCCTACAGGACAGCACAGAGGCACTCATCATGGCTGCACAGGAGCAGGCCCTGAGCACCAGAGCGATAGAGGCCCAGATATACCACACCAGACAAGACCCAAGGTGTCGGTTGTGCAAAGAGGCACCTGAGACGATCCAACACATAACTGCAGGGTGCAAGATGCTGGCAGGGAGGGCCTACATGGAACGCCATAACCAAGTGGCTGGCATAGTGTACAGAAACATCTGTGCAGAGTATGGGCTGGAAACCCCAAGGTCTAAGTGGGAAACTCCTCCAAAGGTGGTGGAGAATGAGCGTGCAAAGATCCTGTGGGACTTCCAGATACAGACCGACCGAATGGTAATGGCGAACCAACCTGACATTGTGGTGGTAGACAAAGGGCAGAGGACAGCCGTGGTGGTGGACAAAGGGCAGAGGACAGCCGTGGTGGTGGACAAAGGGCAGAGGACAGCCGTGGTGGTGGACGTGGCAATTCCAAGCGATGGTAACATCCGGAAAAAAGAACATGAAAAGCTTGAGAAATACCAAGGTCTCAGAGAGGAGCTGGAGAGGGCCTGGAGGGTAAAGGTGACAGTAGTGCCCGTGGTGATCGGTGCACTCGGGGCAGTGACCCCGAAGCTAGAAGAGTGGTTACAGCGGATCCCCGGAACAACCTTGGACATCTCGGTCCAGAAATGTGCAGTGCTAGGAACAGCAAAGATACTGCGCAGAACCCTCAAGCTCCCAGGCCTCTGGTAGAGGACCCAAGCTTAGAGAGGGATAACCGCCCGCGGAGGGCCAAAGGTGAGTGGACTTTTTTTTTCTTTATATTTGACATTCCCGCCACTTTTTTGACCCAAAGATGTGACAGTGGCCAAAAAAACATGTACAAACTAAAAATAGAACCAAATTGTTTTTTTTTTTTGAGAGCATGGAACGACTGTAGTGGCACTGATTTTAATACGTTCCAATTGTTGTGGTTTGAGAGTTAAGTTCCCCAGCTTTAACAGGCTCCATCTATTCATGTCTTGATGTGAATAGATGTATGGAAGATCCTGTTTATAATAAAGGTAGAGTGTTTCTTTAGTAAACGTGTCCCTGAGTGCAATTATAATCATCATAAATTAAACATCTTTAAATTAAATCATTAAAAAAGGTCCAGAGCTTGATTGTATTCATCCATCTGTCATAATGGAGCCATGAGAAGGAATCTCTGGAAACAAAGAAAAAAGAAATTCATGTTGATGTAAAATTCTGCTAAAATATTCTAAAATTAATGGCAACTTATTGAATATTGAAATAGTTTGCCATTTAGCTATTGAGGATGAGAAGAGGTTTTATAACTTGGTACTGATGGTAATTTTATAATAACTGCAGAATTATATAAAAATAAATTTCTGAAGTATTTTTAATCAAACTAAACTATGTGGAACGAGTCATCTCTATGAAGATGTTCTTTCACTTGCACTGTGTTTGTTCAAATGTATAAAGAAAAATAAATCACATATTCACAGACCTCTCATGATCTAAACTAATAGATTAATCAACCAACTAATCAATTATCATGATAGTCTTCAATTACAGCTCTAACATTCATGCAAAAGATTTAAAAGTTATCTGATGCATTATTCTTTTATTCCTGTTCTTGTTTATCTTGTTTTTTTTTGTGAACTTGTCTGATGCACAGTGGGGACTTTTCCAAATGTATTCCTGTGTGGTTTTACTACAAATGGCAAATGAAATGAATCAGAATCGGTATCTGACTCACTGTAAACACACACTGGTGTCTGCGTTTTTCACTTTGCATCATCAGAACCAAATATGTCCTCGTTCAGACCACAGAGCATGGTTCCAGTATTCTGTCTTTATCAAACAGTCTGTGGTTTTTGTGTCTCCCTCCGCAGTGGTGCTGTGAGTGTCCTGGTCCAGTTCCTCTCAGCACTGACCTGTATGAAGCTGAGACTGTCCTCTGTCTGCAGGAGTTGCTCCATGTGCTCCAGTCTCTGTTGTTGCTCCGTCAGCTGCTCCTCCAGAGACACCACCACGTCTTTACTCTGCACATCTGTGTTCAGCCTGAGCTCCTTCAGCTGCATCAGCCGCTCCTGTATCGTCTGGGCCAATCTGCTCCGTCTGCGGGAGAGATGGGCCTGTCCACAAACTCACATTCAGTCTATTTCAAAGTAAACAGTATTCTATGAAAGAAATCTGAAATTAAATTAGTGGAATTTTATCAGAAAGCCACCAAACTTCTTGCACTCTATAAAAAGGAGACCGCATGTAGACCTAATGTGTACAAAATCATATTATTTTAAACTGAATTTAGTCCAAAAAAAATTAGAATTTTAGAAGATTTCAAATGTCAAACAACTCAACTTTTTATTAGGAGCCCATGTTTCCATGACAACATCAGGATGAGAGCATGCAGGCTGTTCAACTGTCCTAATGAGAACCTGTGGTTCTCCCAGTGCAGGCTTTTGTGACTAACTAATCAATCTTAGCAGTGACTTATAGACGCTTCAGACATGGACTTGGAAAATAAGTTATTTTTTAAACCATAATCGTACGTACAGACATGCCCACAAAACTTATGTATAAGGTTATCCAGAGAGCAGAATGTGTCTCTCATTTGGGTTGCCAGTTTCTGATTACAAATGACCCGTCCACCTCCCTCTCTCCAAATGACCTGTCCACCTCCCTCTGTCCAAATCACCCGTCCACCTCCCTCTGTCCAAATGACCCGTCCACCTCCCTCTGTCTAAACGGTTGTTGACGTAAGTGTGTTACCTTCTTCCTGGCGGCCTCTCTCTTCACCGTGACGACACGGTGTCCTCTGTGTTCGCTGGTCGCACACATGGTACACAGACAGGTCTGGTCTGTGCGGCAGAACTGCTCCAGCTTCCTCCCGTGAGCTTTGCACAGGGGCCCGTCCAGGTTCCTCACCACCTCCACCAGCCGATGGCGCCCCAGCTCTGCGTCCTGGTAGTGCGGCTGCAGATGGAGCGGGCAGAAGGACGACAGACACGACACACACGACCTGAGGGCTGCGGAGGAGCAGTGGTCACAGGGAACTTCTCCAGAGCGCAGAGGGACCGGGCCGCCATCCCTACAAGGGCACAAGCAATAATACATCACAGGGGGTTATGTTTCCCTCTGGGTTTGTCTGTCTGTCTCTCAGTGGTGTAACTCTAAATGCCAATCTTGTGGATGACATTTTTTACAAATGGCTGAAAAGGAGGTGTTGGCCAGAACTACACCTCTGTGCAGATAAACCAAATTCTTCTATTAATTCTTTTGAAAAGAGACTAGTTCAATAACAATGTTTTTTTTAACCTTTTTGAGCCGTGACATATTTTTGTCATTGAAAAACAAGTACATGCACACCTCACATGGATTATATGGAAAATCCAACAAGCACAAAAAGTCTTTCTAATCTTCTCGCATGATATTGACGGATTAGTTTCCAAAGGAACACCAAACAACATCTCAAGCCACACTAACCTGCCATGGCACACTGGGGGAAAAAACACTATATCTAAAGCCCCTCGAATGTATGCTCTCACACCGCAGCAATGAAGGAACTGAAAACTCTTTGCAACCAGAAAGAGATGTTTGCACTTTTGTGATTCGTAAAAAAAAAAAAACTCCAGGCAAAAATTCAGAATAGTAAGTAAGTAATGTTTATTTATATACCGCCTTTCACAGACCAGAGTCACAAAGCGGTTTACAATGGTTATTTTTTTGGGCATCTGTCCTCTCACTCCACACAGAGATGGGAGCGGGGCCAGTACAGGAGGCACATGCCAGACCTATTGTACATATTTTTAGTGGTAGGGGAAACCGGAGTACCCGGAGGAAACCTACGCAGACACGGGGAGAACATGCAAACTCCACTCAGAAAGGCCCTGGTCCGACCGGGATTCGAACCCAGGACCTTCTTGCTGAGAGGCGAGAGTGCTATCCACTCAGCCACCGTGCCGCCCATACTCACCTATTCTCTTCTCCGTCACATTTGGAGGAACTTGTTTCTAGTACTTGAAGCTGGGGCCGTGTTTTGAAGAAGACTTTGCACAGAGGACACACACATTGTCCCTGGATCCTCCAATAATCCCCAATGCAGCTGAGGCAGAAGAGGTGTCCACAGGGAAGGGCCACGGGGCGGGTCCAGGCCTCCAGGCAGATGCAGCACTGTGGGCTATTGGACATGAGCTCACCACGGAGATGCAGAGGGAAGATGGCTGCAGACAATGAAAAGGTGAATTTAAAAGAATAGAATTTAAGAACTTTAAAGTCTGTCCCCAGAAAGAAACAGACGGAGTACCCATGCATGGAAACTATCCATGGGTCATGAAATTAATTTGAATGCAGGAATTCAGTATTCTGTGCTTTTAAACAATTAATCTATTCTTCCCATAATGAGTCAATTGGAAACATTTCAACTATATATTGTATATTCTTTACCAATCATATTAAGGACTATGAAGATATGGATAATTTCATAGCCATAATTGCAAAATTATAATTTATTCGGTTTCATATAGTGGCTTGTGGAAAATAAATGTTCCTCTTTTGCACCAATTAAATTGTAACCTTCCACTGCAAAATTAATACTTCAAAATTATGATTTTTGAATCTGAGGGCGACCCTCATAGATTAGACGTGAGGCAGGTTAATAAAGTTGCAGTTTTGAAGAGTTTTCCCAGTGCTGTTGTGAATTATAGCATCGTTTTCCTTAATATTGAGAAAACTTTCATTAAAATAATTAATGAAAAGTAATAAGTATAAATGTATGGATACAATTATCACATCGCTCCAATTATTTGGATCCCACTTAGCTGCGGTCACCAGTATTCCTGGGTTCTATTCTGCAAATAATCAATCAGTCATTGGATAAATTCAAAGTACAGTTAACAAAACACAATACATTATATGTTGTACCCAAATAAGAAGTCGAAATGCGTAAAACCCTTGGACCATTGTTTGTTTCCTAAATGCATTAGGTACCGGTCAGCAGGTGATCTGGAGGAGAACCTCCAGCTTTTGCATCCTAATAATATTATATATATAATACAATATCATTTGTATATATTATTTTTCTTTGCCTTGAGGCCACAGACGGCTGAAATGCAACTTCTGTCTCATTGTGGGAAGTGGCAATCTGCTTTTGGGAAGTGAAGGCACAGAGTTGTAAATACCGTCATTTGACTGGAGAAATTCCCAAAAATGACTTTTACTTTTGTTTTAAAAAGACTCAAAACATCTCTGGCAATGACGTCATAATCTCAGGCTTTTCCCGTCACAACCCGTGATAAAAGCTGCTTTTGTGTCCTTGGGCAATACACTCAACCTCCCTCACCCCCAGTGTCTGCGTACACTGGTGAATGTGAAGCGCGTAGATTTCTCCTGAAAGTTAGTTAACCCTCCAAGGTCTAGAGTCATTTTGGGGAACTTTCCTCGCCTGGTTTTTTGTATGTAGAATTGCTCATAAAACAGTCATCTTTCGATGCAGAGTCAAGCATTATACTTTGTTTTTTTCAGTACAACCTGGGGTTTTAGAAAATTCATATTTTGGAGCTGTTATATCAATTATATGATTATGAAATCATGAAGACAAAGAAAAAAATGAAACGGAAAATCAATTTCACAAAATTGTATTGAAAAAACACAATGAAATGCTATAAACAACTTTTTAGACTCCATAGAAATGTTATTTATGGTCTTGGGGATAAGGCGGGAAAATATTGAACCAGTGACTATTATAATTTTTACAAAATTCCACTATAAAAGCCAAAAACTCTGTACTCCTGATGCCCTTCCTCAAGCAGTTTGTCTATGAGGCTGTGGTTGCTTCTGTATCACAGCTGTAAAATACGTAAAACAAAACAAACTAAGACAAAAAGTAAGTAAAAAGTAAGTTGCTAGCTTTTACGGTTTGCGAGTAAATTGATCACTTGTAAAACATGTGCGCGACCATCGTCGGCGATGGCATCGTCTTTTAAGGGTTAAGAGGGATATAAAGGCTTGGTCGCCGAGTTGGATACATGCACACAGTGACTCCCCTTTTATTCTAATCAAGATTTTATCTGTTTTAATGTTTACATTTTTTTTTTTTTAAAAGGCAACATTGAAGCCAAGCTAAATCTAAAACACTTTATTTTTTGTATTTTTTTGGAATTTGTTGGCTTTAAAGACCTTTAGCCGGTGGGACTCAATTGCCCTGGTCTTAGGATCATAAAACAACGTGAATAAGGTGTGGTACTGATTACTCCAGGTCAGCTTCTTATAAGGGAACAATATTGAAACAAGGTAACATAAATTAAATAGAATAAAAACAAAACAATACTTTAAATTCATTATACAATTAACAAGTTTTTGTAATTTTTTTCAGATCTCAAACAGGAGATATAGAAAAATGGAAAGATAGAAATGTAGGGTTAAAATGAGAGCCACCTATAAAGACTAAGGAAAACAACACATTTCTAAATCTCTTTACAAACAGCATTATTAGTTTTAATTATTTTAATAATTAATGTATGAAAGTTTTGCCTATTTAAGGATTGATTTTGTCAAGGACTTCATCAGATCAGAAAAGTTCATGTGTCATTATTTATGTCAAAACAAAACACCATTTACCGGCCATTCAACATAAAATAATACCAGTAATATTAAATAAGGAACTCATCTGTTAAACCCCATATAATCAGCTCTCAAATCATTTATAATGTGTAAGATTAAATCATACTCACGTTGTTTGTCTTGAGTTTTTCTTGTTTCACTTCTGATACCCACAGCTGTGTCAAGTCAATGTGCGCAAGGCATGCTGGGTAAAAAGAGGGTTGGTCCAGTGACGTCAAGTCTCAACATCTGTAGGTGTTTACCTTCCACATTACTGAGCCAATGAAAAAAACGTGTTCAGTTTTTATGAGTCACTGTGGTCTGGGTGCTGGGAGGAAGTGTGTACGCGTAGGACATTTGACAAGAGGAAGCAAAATAAATCAATATCATGATGGGCCGTAGTTGAAAAGTGGATTGTAAAGGGTTTTAAGAACATTGCATAACACAAAGCCAATAAAATGACAGAGATGACTCCATATGGACATGTGACAGAGCAGAAGGTGAGTGATTGTAAATAAGTAACAGCAAAACAGATAAAAACAAAGGTATAAGCAATTCCACCCTCAGAAACCTGGGGGTTGTTTTTGATCAGGCCCTGAATCTGGACACACACTGCAAACAGCTCGTTAGAAACTGCTTTTATCATCTCAGAAACAACAAAAATTCGCAACATATTGTCACAGAAGAATTTGGAGATGATCATTCATGCCTTTGTTTCCACACGTCTCGACTGCTGCAACTCATTGGTACATGTCTTAATAAGAGTGTTCTTAACAGACTTCTATTTGTGCAAAATTCCGCTGCCAGACGTTTAACAGGAACCCCCCCGGTGGTCTCACATCACCCCGGTCCTGTTCTCACATCATTGGCTAAATTACGTATTGATTTTAAAATTTTAGTTTTAACTTTCAGAGCCTTAAATGGTCAGGCTCCATCTTACATCTCCGACCTCTTGACCCCATACTGTTCTGCCTGCACTCTTAGGTCCACAGCCCAGAATTTACTTGCGGCCCCAAAGACCCGCTATAAGACCCAGGGGGACCGGTCCTTCCAGTCTGTGGAAAGCTTTGCCTCTGTCCCTCCGTGTGGTCAACTTTCAAAAAGGGATTAAAGACACTTCTTTATGGGGCAGCTTTTAGTTAATTTCTTGTTTTTATGTTGTTATTTTCAATTTTTTCTTATTTCTATTGTACATACATGTCTGCTTTTACCTTACTTACTTTCAATTACGTCCCCAGTGCTCCCCATAAATCATAATATTTTTTTGGTGGTGGAAGGAATACGTTTGTATGTTGTGATTGTTGCTCTCACACTGAAATAGACAAGGAGTAAACTTAGAACTTCTTGAACAACCAAAGACTACAGCCGTGACAGATTATGACAAGAACATGTTTGATTTGTCGGTTTGTGAGAAATTCCCACCTGAGAATATCACATCATAGGAATCACACTTTTCCCCCCCATACGTAATGCATTGGTTTGTCCCTGCAAAAAGGGTCATGTAAAAGTAAAAGGTTTCAAACAATTCAGACGACTACATGCTGTTTTATTTTATTTTATTAGTAATCTTACAAGAAAACCTTTGGTGTTTTGCATACTCGTAACAAAGAGCCCTGTGACTATTTGACACTTTGGACTGAGAGGAGAGTTTGGTCCTGTCTTATCACTTTTTTATCACTATTGGGCTATCGATGTATTTAGTGATAGGGGAAACCCAAGCACCTGGAGGAAACCATACGAGTCCATTTCAGTTCCAGACTCTAACCAAGAACCTACTGTATTTGCTGAGAAGCTGGAAAACGGAAATTGTACAAACACATAACAATTCACACTATTGCAATCCACTTCTCTATTTCTGGGATATTATAATACTTTTGTTTTTACATGGTCCTACAATCTCAGCGGTGTTGCTGACTTTAACATAAATACATTTTAATTGGGTTTTATATGAGTTATAATTTAACAGTTTCCCTATTGGTCACATATTGTTCGGTGACTGCTTGGCGTCCGCTCTCACAAGTATTCTCCCCAACTTCTTCTTCCATTTTAATCACGTCATTTTCCACCCCACCCACAGAGTAAGCCACAGTACGCAGCACCATTGGCTTCGACTTCTTTGCCTTACTGTACAGGTAGAAATACGGGAACAGCTTCTCCGTAAACTTTTCCCCCACAAAGGAATGAATATGAATTTTTCTGTCAACATCGTAGAAAGACAGCCTCCCGTCCTCGTAATCCAAAAACACCCCGATCACATGTGGTCTAGGCGCCAAATGGAGCGCTTTCAACGACAAGCTGTCCGCAGTGTATGTAAGTCCTTCTTTTGTGATGGCGTAGAATCCGTTGGCAGGTTTTACGAGGATTTCGCTGCCTCTTGAGACCCCTTCTTTGGCGACACCCACGTCCCAATCGCTTCTGAGGCAAACCTGGACCTCCCAGTAGTGACGGCCATGGCTGAAGCCTTTGGTTGTGAAGACCATGGGCAGTTGGAACCGGTTTGCGCTGAGTGACACGGATTGGGTTGGAATTTTGTGATGCTTTATGCTTTGGTTGAAGTTGTACACGTGAAGATGGCGGCCGGCGGTGTTCGGATCAAAAGTTAAATTCTCTGTAAAGAAGATTTAGATTAGATTCAGTTTATTTGCCATTTGCAGTAAAAACACCACATTGGAATACATTAGCAAAAAGTATTAGGGATGGACTGATCCAGATTTTTCAAGTCTGATACTTTGGCTTCAATATCTACTGATCTCCAAATATACAAGTGAAGAGATTAGATAGAAGTAGAAGTCTTCCCTCATATCTAACTTTTTAACAAATCTCACAAATCCGTCCAATTGTGTTTTAAACTGGCGGATTAACGACAGATCTGAGTAACAATTTTTTAAGTAAATGACCTTCTGGACTATTATCAGCCAGTAATCAGACTTAGTACATGATAATAAAGGCCTCAATGTTGCACAGTTCACAAACTCTTGAGGATAAATCTTATTTGTCAGCAGATAATCCAATTGGATCTGAACCATCATTGAGGCAAATTAATAGGTACTTCTTGCAGGGAATCGGCCGAGGAGCCCGGACAGAGAAGGCTCGGTCACCTTTCGTCCGGAGCCTCGACCTTGGAACGGTCAACAGGGACCTGCCCGAGGATCTAAGGTGGGCTCGTACGGGGTTAAAAGTTCACAAACATAGCTGGGTGCCAGACCTAAACGAGCTTTAAAAGTAATCAGTACAATCTTAAAATCAATTCTGAAACGCACAGGGAGCCAGTGGAGGGACTCTAAGGCAGGGGTGATGTGCTCCCTTCTGTTAAAACCAGTGAGAATCTACATCCATTCTTTGTTGCTTTTGCCAATCAGATGCATGCACTATATATTCCACTTACATAAAAAAGCCCTGAAAAACTTGTGACAATGTTTCTGTGGTCAATCGAATGAAGAATAGAACAGATTTAGCAAAGTCACGGTCTATCAATTTGATTTTCCACGTATAAGATAAATACTATACTTACCTTTGTACTTCTTTATTTTGATCATCTCTGTAAACAACAAGCAAACAAAATAAATGACAGTACCAAACCAATTTATAATCCATTTCAAATATTGTCGCATGCCGTACCTTCTTCTGTCAGTATTTTCAGAATAGACTGGAACTTGTGCAGAAGTTTGGCCACTGCGAGTCGCACCGTCTCCACACAAACCTCTGAGAAGACTTCTGTTTCAGTCCAATCCTTCACCTCAGAGCGGCTGTTTAAGCTTCGCAGCGCCTGCAACAATCGTATTCATATTTTTCTTCTTTTTTATTCACAGGTGTCAAACCGGTCCTCAAACTTGTGTGGCTGCAGGTTTTCATTTCAACCAAGCAGTGGTCAAGTGAGACAGTCTTAACCTGAAGACTGAACTGCAAGGAGTCGGATGTGCTCCTGCTTGGTTGGAATGAAATCCTGCATCTACAACTGCCCTTTTGGGAACTTATTTGACATTACTCAAAGGTAATGTCTGTATTCATGCAAAAAATAAAAAAGATGATTATTATTTTACTATGTAACCATGGAGTAGCATGTAAAGTAAGTAAAAAAAATTATATATATTTTAAACAGCTGGAGGAAAATATTTGGACAAATGGCAAGGGGCCTCGCCTGTTTATCAAGGATTCAAACAAATTCTGTCCAATCAAGAAGCAGTGGGGGTGGGAATTGGGCGGGTCTCACCAGTGCTTGCCTTGGATTTTTCTTTTCTTTCAACAATTAACAAAGGAACTGACATTCACTTTAGAGGTGATGTTAGCAATCATTGAACTTCATGTTAAAAAAAGTATTTTTTGACCATGGTACATTGTACTATTATGTATTTTCAACAATAACATATCAAAAATAGTCCTTGGAATAACTACAAGCAGTAAGATTTTCTGACGGACAATGGTTGAACCGATGACGAGGGACCCCAACGATCATTTACCTCTGTGTTCCGATGTTGATACTGACCGGCAGCAGATGCATGATGTCGTCGCAGGTGCTGAGCTCCTGCAGCTCTGAGTGCGTTCGCTGAAGTGTTTTCACCTCCTGCTGAAGCTCTGCGACCACACGCTCGTCCCGGTCTCTATACGTCTGTAGTTTCTCCTGGACTGTTGTTCTAAATTTGGTTTGAGCCTTTTGTAGACCTCTGGTGAATATGTTCATAACTGCATCCATGTTTTGAATTTATTTTTGGGCCGTCGCCTATACAGATAAGAATGGGAATCTGTTGTTTAAGGAGTTTGGTACAAAAGAGGGAAAAAATCTGCTGGTTGGTAACGAGAGCTAGCAAGTTACAGTAACTGTAATGTCAGCAATTTGTTGTCATGCAATGAAATGTTCGATGACCACGAGCACTACTGTCACTTTTACCTTCCAGGCCTTCTCTAAAGCATTCTCTTTTTTCCTGATGTTAACCTCCACAATGTCAGGTTTGTTGGCTATTACCATTCGGCCAATCTGTATCTAGAAGTCCCACAGGATCCTCACACGCTTATTCTCCACCACCCTTGGAGGAGTTTCCCATTTCGACCAGCCCATACTCTGCACAGATGTTTCTGTACACTATGCCAGCCACTTGGTTAGGATCATCTCAGGTGCCTCTTTGGACAAACGTCTTGTTTGGTGTGGTACATCTGAGCCTCTATCGATCAGGTGCACAGTGCCTGGTCCTTTGTTAAGTCCAGCCCTTTTCCAGCCATATGTAGGACTTCTTGAGTTCAGCCACTACTGTTATATTCTAATGATATCTGTTCTGATGACATCTATTCTGATGATAAGTTCCATTTAGGGGCTTGTCCTTAGTTATATATAATATACTTACTTTTCTCATCACTGAAGAGTTTGTGAATGTTTTCACTTTATCCATTCTCTCCTCTATCATCAGTTCGATTTGACGCATCAAAGAACCCATATTTTCCTTCAAAACAAAATATGTTTTACTTTAAAACACAAAGGCTTTATCTGAAATGTGTCATTGTTTGGCACCTTATGATTGGCAATAATATTTTTATAGACACAAATACCTTCTGCTGTGCTCCTTCCTCTTCCATTGATACTACTTGGTGATCTTTGTGGTCAGTTTGGAGACAGAGGACACAAACAAAAATGCCATCCTCTCTGCAGAAAAAATCCAAGGCTTTATTGTGCCTGGGACAAACTCGCTCTTCGATATTCTCCACCGGTTCAATCAACTTGTGCCTGGCTAAACCTGGTACTCTCAAATGTGGCTCCAAATGCAGCGCGCAATACGACGCTTGGCAAACTAAACATGATTTCACCGCTCTTAACGCTGTTTCCATGCAAACATCACAATCAACATGTTGCAAGCCTTTAGCAAGTTCAGAAATCTCCAGCCTTCTCTGTTTTATCTGCACAGACAGCTCCTCCATGACGGAATTGGTGCCAATTTCAGGTCGAACGGCGAATCTCTTCTTACACACGGGGCACTGGCAAAACTCGCTCTGGTCCCATTGGTGATTCAGGCAGGATTTACAGAAGCTGTGCCTGCACGGAGTGGTGACCGGGTCGGTGAAGATCTTTGTGCAAATGATGCAGTGGAAATGGTCAGAAGGAAGACAGTCCAGGACATTGATGGAAGACATGTTGGGGATTCCAAAACGTTGATCACAAAAACACAAGTACAAAAACAGTGGCTGGTCATCTGGATGTAGCCGCGTTGCAGAGGCTAGGAACTGAAGAAAAATGTAAGTTATTTCAAGTGTTGTATGTACCCATGTTTTTATTCAACAAGAGATGTGATTTTCAAAACTTTAAAATATTAAATTGAAAGAGAAAACAATTAATTTAACCAAACACTCAAACGACAGTAGCTCAGTTGGTAGAGAATTGGCCTTAAGGCCAGAAGGTCGTGGGTTCAATTCCCACCTCTATACCATCTCCACCGACTCCCACTGATGACTGCTGTCATTGTGTCCTTGGGCAAGACACTTAACCCCACTTTGCCCAAAGCCCCCACTGAAAGATCAAGGCTATGCTCACACTCAGAGAGCAGCCGTCCTCCTGTGGACTCACCACCTGCAGAGGGTCAGTGAGGGGCTGGTGCTATGAGACTTGGGTGGCATCTCTGACTGCCACCCCCCTGACCCAGAAATGGATTAAAGGGAAGAAAATGGATGGATGGACGAAACACTCAAACAGCTCATAGAGAGACCTTTATTAACTTCCAATAGCCAGAAAAAGGAAGTGTATCCATCCATCTATCTAAAGCTAATCAGTTACCAAGTTATTTATGGTTTTCCTCTCCTGTATGTGAAACGAAACCACCACTGACGTCGTCCTTATTCCCACATTTAACCTGTGGACACACGTTTGAGTGCCATTTCATCTCTCTTCCGAACAAGTCTCGACCTCGCTCAATGACTCATTTCCACATGCACGCCAACCCATATTCACCACCTCAAAAACAGCATCTGAATGATATAGTACCAAGTTTAAAATCAAAGAGGAGAAAGACTCACCCCTTCTTCCCTCTGTGTGTGTGCTCTTGTGAGTTTAATGCTGGTGACATGCAGCTATAGTTTGTTGACTGTGGTTAGTCCTGGGTGTCACCATTTCACTGAAAACGAAACTTAATTTTGTTTCTGTTTATTTTCAATAAACGGCATCCATCACAGTCATTTTAAGTACAATAAACATGCACTCTATTAGTGATTCAACTTTCAATTCATTCATCAAAAAGACACAAAACATTTAAGACAACAATGTGTAGATTGTTGTTTTTTTAATGTGTCAAATTTCAGCCTAAACACTCAATGAATGTGAAATAGATTTGTTGTTGCTGTTGACATAATAGTAAATGATTGAAAACATACATTGTTCTTATTTAATAAAATCCTAAAACACACCAGGGAGACTGTGCTAATTTTGGAGGATTTTATTGTTTTACATTTTTCCAACAGAAAACTTTTAATCCCTCAATCTGAATGTTCAAAAAGAGAGAAGCAGATTCTCCTAACTAAAAGTGACATGTGATTTAACTTTTAATTTTTTTCTCACTTTCATGGGTGATTCTCTCATTATTAACAGTTATATATGACTTGTTTCATACTGCTACTGTTGTAATGTGTTAATATTATCTGGGGTAAAATCGGAAGCTAAAGGTGGGAGAGCGTGCCTGCAGTAAGAGTACGCTGAGAGGATGAGTATGGGCAGGTCTAACTGGTGCTTTTACTTGGCACAAAATAGTTCCACGCTTGACAATCACTTGTTGTTCGAAGTCATGCTGAGACCTCCTACTGGCCAACACAGCACACTACATAATGAAGCTTTCTCCTTTGCTGCTCACTTGATTGTGTCATTGTATCTCAGCAACTATTCCCTATTATCCTTTACTTCTGACCTGTAATCTGACATGTCAACATTTGGCAATGAATAACATAGAAATGTAGATAAATATTGTATATGTTGTATGGCAGGATTTGAATGAGAATCGCACTTGGATAGGCCTATTTCGTTTAAAAAATAAAAAGAATCACAAAATATATATACACATGTAAAATTGAGAAATAGAAGGAACCAGACTTCCATCTAGTGGTACAGTAGGAGTGGGAAAGACATTTGAGCTTCATCTGGATCTAAATTCAATATGGCACTGTCTAACTGATTCTACTCTGCTTTTAAAAACGGTATACAACAGCTCTGTCCACAACTTCCTAGTCTCGTTTTATTACATGGTGTATTGAGTTTGAAAAGGGGCATCAGACCAGGAGCCGAGACGTGGATGGAACTAAAGAAACCTCTCCAGGTCTGTTTTTGAGGCCAGAACAACGTTATAACTCAAACAAGAAGACTTTCGCATACTATATTGTTTCATGTTTTGTCCAGCTCAGCTCTTGCTCTGACCGCTGTCTCCCGTAGGGCAGATCACCATGGTGTCCGAGGCCTTGTCGGAGCAGTACAGATAAAAAAATGGCAGGATCTTCTCCGTGAACGAATCTTTGAAGGTAAAAATGTGCGTTCTGTTCTTCACGTCATAGAAGGACACGTGGCCCTCATCGCAGTCCACGTACACGCCGATCTGCCTGGGTTTGGGCTCCAGCGTCAGCAGCATCGGGGGGGTCGTGGAGGCGCGGTAACCCTGGCTCTTTTTCATCGCCAAAGCCCAGTATCCCTGCGCAGTGCTGACCGAAATCCTGCCTTTGCGGTTGACGGAGGACTTTGCCACGCCGAGGTACCAGTCGTCCTTTTCGCCCACTTGGACTTCCCAATAATGGCGTCCCGAAGTGAAGCCGGATTTACCCAGGACGATGACAACGGTGTCGAAGCGCGCTGGGTTGTCCGGGAGGTCCTGCCACGCCCCCAAGTGTCTCAGCTGCCGGCGGTCCTGGGACAGCTGCAGCCACGGGTTTGAGGTGTCCGGGTCCAATGTTACGTTCGCTTTGAAAAAGGGGAGAGGAGAAGATGAGTTTGGGCTTTCCCTCACAAGACTCACAAAATGAACTCATAAACAAAAGGGATTTGTTAGGGATGCACCAAAACAATACGGGTATTGTCGGCGATAATGTAAATTTTTTTGTGGAGTATCTATTTGATGAAATCGGTCAAGTAGTATTTTTGATGTGTTTTTTGGCCAAGAATCTCAGTCCTCTAGTCCGTTTCACCTTTACTTGAAACACAAATGGACCAATTTGTAATAAGTAGCTGAGATTTTAAAGGAGAAAAAGCCGTCTCTATTGTATTTGCAAATGTTGAAGCCGAAGTATCGGAATCTTGATGTATATAGCCCAGTGGGGAACAATAAAATAGCCAATTTAGGTTTTTTTATCACCGATTTGACGTCACTGATATTAAAGGCAAAAGTTCTGTTTTTCAACTTTTAACACGGCTTCCCTATAAGATTGTTGGTTGTTACGTTGGAATTGTATTTATTACAGTCTATGGTGTGGACTGTGGACATACCTGTGTACTTCTTAATCTTTCTGATCTCTACAAAACAAATGAGGCGCAAATCAATCGTCAATTTCAAAATAGTTATAGAAGTTGTAAACTGTTGATCTGAAAACCCACCGCTGTCTATGAGTTTGTGGATGGTGTCGTTGAGCGTTTTCTCCAGTTTGTTCACAGACCTGCGGATCATGCCCACACAGGTGTCAGTGGACACGTGAGTATCGGACCAGTCTCTGACCGACGGAGGGCTGCTCAGGGACGGGAAATTCTGACAAAGGGCAAGAGAACATTATCAGGTCAATTTCAGTTCTAATTCTCATTGATATATATACTGTATATAAAACAAAGGGCTTATCAGATAGTATTTGAGACATTAAAGTATACTGCAGATTAGTGAGAGTACACTACGAGTTGATACTGAACCCCAAGTCCCACCAGTATGCTCTGATTGGGCTTCGACATATCTCCAATAAAACTAACACTTGGAGAGCACAGACCTCCACCAAGAGGCCATTGTAAAAAGAATACTGGATCCAGTCTTCCAGATCAAAAGTGATTATTCTTTGTCCCACTTTTGATTTTCTTACTTTATCATTTCTGTTTTTATACATATAATCTTGCAAACATTTTAGTTTTGTTTTACATGTGTCTGGATCAATCAATTTAATACGGACCAGGCCATTTACCCAGTCCTCTCCCCTCTCAGGTAAACCTAATGACTAATAGCTCTTGTCACCTTCAAGAAGTTGATGTGGTCTGTGCGGGCCACGTTCTCCAGATCTCCGTGCCTCCTCCGTAGATCCAATATCTCCTGCTCCAGTTGGATAGTGAGATTGTCGGCCCACTGCTCCGTCTGCCGCTGCTTCTCCTGGATGGACAGCACCAATTCGGCCTGAGTTCTTTGGATGGACCGGATCAGATCTGCAAAAACCTGCGCGCTTTCCTCCATCTCCCTCTGCACACTCGCCTGCAGAAAAAAAAGGAGTGAGACTCCTTTACAGCGAGAAAAGTCGCTGTAAATCCTCTACAAACACATTCCGTAACTACAGCCACAAATCAGAGTAGAAGGTTTGATGCAATTACTCCCCATTTGACTTTAACTGGTGTAGACTTTATCCGACTTTAATTTCTTACTTTGTTGAGCTCTACAGAGTGTTTGATCTCCTCCACCTTCTTCACACGATCGTGGATCATTTGCTGAACATCCATTTCTGATCTCTTCAGCTGCGCCTGTTGCAAATGATGAATAAAGCAAGTTCAAACAGACAGTTTTTTGTAAACCTTTCACTGCAGTCAGCATGATCTGATGACACCAGTTATTCAACAATCCAAGATAAATGTGCTAATGGGTTAAGGGTAGAGTAGGGTTAGGGACTAGGGCTAGGGCTGAGACTAGTGTCACTAAGGTTAAGACACAGGTTAGATTTCGGGTTAGGGTAAAGGTCAAAGGTTAGGGTTATGAATTCAGGATCCTTCAATTTAATGGATATTTGTGAAAATTTCAAGGAAACCCTTATTTCATTCTTTGAAAACGGGGTATTTCAGATAAAATATTGTGTGGGGGCTCCAGATAAGGTAGGATAAGGATTGAAGCTTCAATACAACATGAGGTGTTTTCAAATGCATTTTGTTATTGTGCTACCCTGGCCTGAGATAAATGATTGAGTCTCTTTGACCCAAAGCATCCTGTGCTCTTTCACTCTACATTTTGGTACTTCAACCATCATAACTATAATGTACATCACTATGCACCTTTGAATATGCCAAAAACAAATGTTCAAATGTGCACCTCCAAATCAAATATATTCCAACCTTTAAGAAATTGTTTGATCAACATAGAATTACAATTATCTGACAATGCCAAATTTCACTTGATCTGCCCAATCAGAAATGACTGCCCACTCAGAACACACTCTTAACACTATTTCTGGAAATGGGTCAAGCATGGGGCTTTACCTTCTTGTCGATCCACTCCCGCTCCACTGGCACAGTGTAGTGAGCTCTGTGGTCCGTCTCCGTGCAGAGAACGCACACACAGGTCTGGTCCTTCTTACAGTAAAGCTCCAACAACCTCTCGTGCTTGGGACACATCCGATCCTCCATGTTGGCCACCGGCTCAATCAGCTTGTGCTTAGTGAATCTGGACACGTGAGACTTGAGATGTTCCTCGCAGTACGACGTCAAGCAGACCAGGCAGGACTTGACGGCTTTGGGTCTACCTTCTCCAAAGCAAACATCGCAAAGCACCTCTTCCTCTACCCAGGATTGAGCCAGCGATGACGTGGAAGCTGCCGGTGAAGCTTCAGAAGAAATTGGTGGTGATGGTGGTGGAGAAACCGGCTGTGGATTTACACTTTGGGTTCTCGAAACGGCAGGAGATCTTGGTGGAGGTATTGGCGGAATCAAAGGCGGTAGATCCTCGTCCGCCTTCGCCTCCTCTTTAAATTTGCGTTCTTCTTGCATCTGCTTGAGTTCCTCCAAAAACTGATCCTTTTCCAACAGCCTTTCCTCATCTTCTTTCTTGTGCCTTTCCATCGTCCACTTTTTTTCCTTAAATGTAACTTCGTCCACTTCTTTAGCAACCTTTACGTCACTGCTTTTAACCCGGATCTGCTTGAACTGCTCCGCGATCTCTCTAAGAACTGTATTGACGCTGATATCTGGTCGTTTTTGGAAGGACTTCTTACACATGGGGCATTGGTATAAAGGAGAAGTCTTCCAATATCCCAGGATGCAGTTTTGACAGAAGTTATGACCGCAGGGTATGGACACTGGGTTGGTGAAGACGTCTAGACAGATGGAGCAGTGGACTTGCTCTTCGGACAGGTTCCCAGGGGAGGCCATTCCTGCACGGCGGAGAGGCAGGGTCATTCTGTGCACTTAAGCCTAGCAGCAGCAGCCAAGAGCAGGGGGAAGAGGCATGGGAACCTGTTACAGATCGAGCGGTGAAAGTTAAATGATGTGTAATATGAACTGTGATGGGTAACAAGAAGCCTAGGGCCTTTAAAGTCATATTAATTAGGTTTGTGACAGACAGACAAGAGCACAAAACACGGATTGATGGTTGTGCTCGTTCCTGAAATGGTTCTTAAGATGGGGTAAGATAGTGGAAAACCATGCAGGGATAGAGGGAATTGTTTTCTGACAACATTAAAACAGGCCTTTGCTGCACTGGATTTGTGGGAAAAGCTTCTCTGCTAACTCGGGCTGGGTATCTTTCAGAGATGGCCAATACAAAATAAATCTTTGTATACATAGGAAACGGGATGTAACTCGTATTTAGATAGATGGATAAATAGATACTTTACTGATCCCCAGTAGGAGAAATTCAGGTGTCCAGCGGCAAAAACACATCCAATCATACAAACAAAATAGATACAGGGGAATTTTGATTTGACACCATACAAAACCTTTTCAAACAATTCCATATGGTTCATAATAAAAATGTAAAAAAAAAAAAAAAAACCTTTTGGCCCTTATTGAACACTCTGCTCCATTTGAACACAAGTACAACACTATTGATGCATTTATATTTAATGTATTGACAATGAATGGTTGCAAAAGTCAAAATATAGGGAAAGAATTAAAGTTTTTATTTATATGATTTTTTTTTTATCTGGGGAAAAAAATCCATTGTGTATTTAATAAGAAATGCATATATTTATACTGTATCTTTTATTCAGCACAACCCTTCCCCTAACGGGTGTTTACCACATTTTGGATCAATAAAATCCTTTCTGTTGATGAGCCAATTTAGAGACACATAGTTTGTCCATGAAAACAAAATCTCTTACAAAAAATGTGTGTCTAAATGATTTATGGTAATACGTTATGTCACTGAACAAAAACTGTCTGATTAGTGTTGTAATACTTTGTTTTTGTGTAATTCTAATCCTGAGATGGATTCCAAAGGAAATGAACAAACTTTCAACTCATAAGTTAAAAAAATGTTAATGTGTTTGTTTAAGCTATAAAAGAAATCTCATTATTGTGTCTTGCCCTTTCAACAAAATGAAAGTAAAGCTAAAAATACCTTGTGCTTTTTATAACTGGTTTGACCTGTACAGCTGGGTTTACACCTAATGCCAGACTCAGACAGACTCACACATGCAAAAGCACCAGTGGCAGGACAATTCAGGCCAAAATTTGACTTTTAAACTACAAATAGATGCAAGCAGCACAGATTTAAAACTTTTTTTTCTGAAGAATTTACATGTTTTAGTTCAGAAAAAGCTCACAGTATCATGTAACTGTTTTCTAATGCAGACAGAGCACTTGTGTAATGTTAAATGCAGTGTAATGATGAGATATATGGAAATCTAGTTAAAATAAAGTTTGAATAAAGAACACTCACCACAGCAGCTGCTTGGAGACTCCACCATCGACTGACACATGAGACGTTTGGGACCAATGTCACATCCAGGACCCCCCCACCACCACCTACCCCCACAGACCCAAAATACTTTCCCCCACAAGAGATGTCCCTTTCAGTGTTTCAGTGAGAGCCAAAGGGTCCTGGGTTGGATTCCTTGAAAGTGTGTAGTTTAGGAGAATGTTACAAAGTATGATTTCTTTTAACGGAATTGTGCATTTTTCAACTGTGCTGGTGGCGTTTTGGCTTTCTGCTCGGTTCCTCTACATGTTGTCTCAAAATGATTTTTTCCAATGTAAATACATGTAGCGGTAATCTTTTCTTTTTCTTTTTTTAATAATAATAATAATAATACATTTTATTTATAATGCACTTTACATTTCAGGGAAACCTCAGAGTGCTACAAAAACAGGGAACATCCCCAAGATACACAACATAAAAACAATACATCAAATATAACATCAGGAAAAAATAAAAACATAATTACTGTACATATCTAGAAGGCCTGTTTGAATAGAAATGTCTTTAGGCCTTTCTTAAAAGCCTCCACACTTTGTGGGGCCCTGAGGGTTTCTGGGAGGGCATTCCAGAGCCGGGGGGCTACTGCCTGAAAGGCCCTATCTCCCATGGTGGAGAGTTTGGTCCTGGGTTGGTGCAGGCAGTGGGAGGAGGTGGTTGAACGGAGACTTCGAGAGGCGGTGTGTGGTGTTAGGAGTTCACTGAGGTAGGCAGGGGCAGTTCCGTGTGTGCATTGATATGTGAGGAGGCAGAGTTTGTACTGTATTCTGTGTTTGATGGGCAGCCAGTGGAGTGATTTGAGGACGGGTGAGATGTGGTCATATTTGCGCCTCCTCGTCAGGACCCGGGCAGCACAGTTCTGGATATACTGGAGTTTTTGCAGACCCTTTGCGGAGGTCCCGACGAGGAGGGCATTGCAGTAATCCAACCTGGAGGAGACAAAGGCATGGATCAGCTTCTCAGCGTCCGGTTGTGAGAGGGAGGAGCGGAGTCTGGCAATGTTTTTGAGGTGAAGGAAGGAGACTTTACAGAGGTGGCGGATGTGGGTATCAAATGTAAAATTAGAGTCGAGCCTGACTCCAAGGTTAATAACAGATGTGGACAGGGGGATGTTATGGCCAAAAATTGAAACACTGCTGAGAGAGGAGGACTGGGTTTGGTGGGGGGTGCCAAAGAGGATTGCATCAGTTTTACCACTGTTAAGTTGAAGAGAATTGTTGTCCATCCATGCCTTTATCTCCTCCAGACAAAGCTGAAGGGCTGACGTAAAACCTGTGGGTGAAGTGGAGTCTATTTTCAGGTATAACTGTGTATCATCGGCGTAGCAGTGGAAAGAAATGTTATGTCTGTTGATGATTTGACCAAGGGGGAGCATGTATATTGTAAAAAGGGTTGGCCCGAGGACTGAGCCTTGCGGTACCCCACAGGTAACTGAATGGGGTGACGATTTGTACTGGCCTAGGGACACATTCTGTTCTGTCAGTGAGATATGAATGAAACCATTTGAGTGTTGTCTGTGAAAGTCCAATTACTGATTGTAGTCTATGGAGGAGAATGGTGTGGTCCACGGTATCAAAAGCTGCTGACAGATCGAGGAGGAGGAGGAGAGAGGGTGAGCCCCGGTCCGCAGTCATGAGTAGGTCATTCATGACGCGGACCAAGGCTGTCTCTGTACTGTGGGCTGAGCGGAAACCAGATTGAAATTTCTCATATAGGTTATGGGAGCGTAAGTGATTGTGGAGTTGGGCTGCTACTGCTTTTTCGAGGACTTTGGAGAGGAATGGGAGGTTTGAGACTGGTCTGTAGTGGGCTAGGATGTTGGGGTCAAGTGAAGGTTTTTTCAGGTGGGGGCGGATTACTGCATTTTTGAGAGCTGGGGGGACCTGACCGGATTTTAGTGACTGGTTAATGATTTCTGTTATTAATGGGCTAATGGCAGAAAAGTTTGATTTGAGAAGTGTTGTGGGGAGAGGATCCAGCAGACAGGTGGAGGGCTTCATGCTGCTTATGATCCTCTCCACTTCAGACTGGGAGATATCCAAGAAGGAGGTAAAGGTGTTGGGCGGCTTAGGAAAGATTATGTCAGTTGGAAATGGGGTAGTAGAAGGAAGGGCAGACCGGATTGACATTACCTTGTTGGTGAAGTAGTCCATGAACCTATTGCAATGGTCCGTACTGGTGTCAGACAGTGTGTGTGTGTGAGTTTTGACCAGAGTGTTTATTCAGAAAAATTTGAGAAAAAATAAGATCTTGCAGTGGTGAGTGCTCTGGTATATGTTTTTTGATGTTCACGGTATGCCTGTTTGTGGACTAGTAAGCCAGTGGAGGTGTAGCGCCGCTCGAGGGCTCGGCCAGCTGTCTTCATATTGTGGAGTTCAGGTGTGTACCATGGGGCTGTTCTGGAAAATGTGACTGTTCTGGTTTTAACTGGTGCATGAGAATCAAGGATAATGCGGAGGCTGGAGTTGTAATGAGTGACAGTTTCATTTACAGAAGTGAATTGTGTGACTAGAGAGATTTTAAGAATGTCCTGGTTAATGCGGGTGGAGTCAATTGCCTTTAAATTTCTGAAACTGATTTGGCGCTTTGTTTTAATTTGTGTTTCGGCTAAGGGCAGTACCATGGAAATTAATTTGTGGTCGGACACCCCCAAATCATAAACTTGCAGGTTGGAGATGGGGACGTTGTCTGTTATAACAAGGTCAAGAATATGGCCTTTTGTGTGGGTGGGTTCTGAGACATGTTGTGATAGATGTAAACAGTCCAAGAGTTCGAGAAATTCTGCAGCAAGACGATTATTTGTAGATTTAATGTGGATGTTGAAATCTCCCAGAATGAGTGTATTATGGGAAGTAGCACAGAGGGAAGTGAGTAGATCTTGCAATTCAGTGATAAAGCCGGAGTTGAGTTTTGGAGGGCGGTAGATGAGGAGCGTTAAAATTGATTTATTTTGTGGTCTGCATTTGAAAAGAAGGGCTTCAAATGTTGTAAGCTCTGGAAGTGGGAGGGGGGTTACAAGTAAGTCCCTGTGATGTATGACAGCCAGCCCTCCACCACGACCAGTGGTCCTAGCCTTCTCCAGATATGTAAATCCTAGTAAAACTATTTGTTTAATAGTCATGTCAAGAAATGTGTATCAATCCAATTTATTGCAAATATTTTTACACATTCTTATTTACATCCGCACAGAGTCTTGGGTAGGGTACATATAAGCATGCCAGGGTAGCTGTTGCTCTCTCTGCAGCCAGCCCTCCATGAACCAGCCGCAAACTCCCCAAAAGCCCCAACAGCTTTCTTTTTAAGCCCCATGCCCCTCCCATGGGCGTGACCAAAGTAATAAATACACATAAATACAATTTCGACCTTTCTCAGCTTAGAACTCCTAACCCTTATATTCACTGCAGGAATTAAAGGCGAAATTAAGTAATTTTACTTATTTCATATTGAATTCCTGCACTGAAATATGTGCAAACACGATATAAACTAACAATACACATTATGAATCACGTGGTGCAGTGAAAGCGCACGTAACTGTGGTATATATATGGCTTGGGCAGAGTTATTATCATAGATCCATGGCAGAGATGCGCTTGGTTTGGTCACCTGGCATGCGGCCGCGGAGAGAGGAGAGTCTGGAGAGAGGAGAGTAGAGAGGAGAGTCTGGAGAGGCCCTCGGACCCGGAGTGCACCCCGAGCCGCGTCCATCATGGAGGCATGTGTGAGTTTGTAGAGAGGTGAGTAATAAACGAAACCAGTTAGTTCTACAGCAAAATACTTCTGAACATTTTGTGCGCGAGTTTGCGCATGGCACCGCGGTTACTGTGTACATCTGACTGTGAGGCTGTATGGAGCAATTGGATTTTAAAGGCAGTAGAATAAATCTTTTTATTGACGACTATAATAAACATGCATGAATCCCTTCTTAATAACGTCAGTGTGTAGAAGAGAAGGGAAACAACAACTTTCATATCTTACCTACAATTGTCACCTTTGCTTAATTCCACCTTTTCAAAATTATGTCCTGTAGGCAGGGGTGGTTTTGTTTATTTATTTATAAGAAATTAACATAAACAAGATATAATATGATATAAAAAAATGTACACTACAATTGTTTTCTTGTATAAAACCTCCACCTATATTCATGTTTAATAATAACAGGCTTAATATTTACATTGTACAATCGCAATATAAAATTTTTTTTTGGCAGCAGTTATTTTCAGCTTAAAAAAATGTACCTTCTATATTGGTCAAGGTGAAACATGATCCTTTCCTTGAGGTTATTCATATCCTCTCACTCATTGTCAAAGTTATTTTAGTGACCCATAAACATAGATGAGTGTGATAGCTTTGGCATTAGCTCATATCAAGAGAAATCAACCATAATAAACATATACAGCATTTTAAAACCAGCATTTTAAGCGCTTCGCGTGACCTTGGTCTATAAAATGCGCTATATAAATAAACAATACTTACTTACTTACTATGTTTTTAAAGCACTAATGGAAAATGAAACTAGCTGCATGCATCTTTGATTGCTTGAAAACACTTAAAACGGCATGTATGAATGTTAAACCAGATACTTGTTCTGAGACAAGGCTGGCCGATGCATTTAAGAGCACTGGGAAAAGCCCTGCCTATAATAGAAATGACTCTTGCTCACTCATTTTGATGATGTACACAGTTCCTCGCTGCAGGTGTTTCATTGTTTTTTTTTTTCACTGCCGAGAGCATACTTGCAATTGAGGCCATCCAAAAATCAAATGCTCAAAGTAAACAAAATATTGCATGAATAAACTTGCAAAATGTGCATATACAGTATGATGGTTACAAGGTGCCTTTGAATGCCCCTTCTGTTCAGTTGGAGTCCTGCGTGTAAGTCCTCTCCTTTGTAAACGTATTCAGTGTTGAGTCTTGTCTTGAAGCAGAAGTTACAGAATGCAGGCTTGCTATTCAATTTTTTTTAAATATATGTGATCGCAAGCTCGCCGTGTGCACTCCTTCAGTCTATGGCGCAATTATCTTTCAATGGAGAAGTCATTTATCAATCGTACCGTGGACAGTTGATTTTTTGTTCAAATTTGTATATACTTAACAGTTCAATCACTCGGAATATTAGCCTTGTGTGGGTTTATGTGTGTTTGATGTTGCTAATGGCCAGTGGTGCAGAGTTCTTGCCCTCGTGGCTCAGACAGGGGCTGAAAATGGGGTAGAGGCTCTCGCTGAAGGTGTCGTTGAAGGTGTAGAGATGCAGCCGCGCCTTCACATCGTAGAACGACACCTGCCCTCCTTCGTAATCCAGGTACACGCCCACTTTGACGGGCTGTGTGCTGAGGTTGAGCAGTAGACGCGGGGCTGCCAGGGCTTTCACTTCTCCGCTCTTCAGCCACAGGCACCAATACCCCCCCTCTGGGCTCAGCTTGATGTCCCCTTTACGTCTGGCCGATCCATTGGCCACTCCCAGGGTCCAGGCGTCTTTGTGCGACACGTCCACCTCCCAGTAGTGGCGGCCGGAGCCCAGACCCTCGCGGCCCAGAACGAAGAGCGCGGGGCTGAAGCGCTTGGACATGTTGCCTTGGGACGTCTTGTGCTCATCGTACTTCACCTGCCGGCCGTCCTCAGACACCACCAGGTTCTTCTGAGCCGTGGAGGAGTCCAGGAACACCTCACCTACACCAGACAAGAACAAGTTAGGAGAGAGTTTTGACTCATGGGCTTTGAGATGTCTCTTGCAGAGGCAGAAGGGTCTAAGGACAGCAACATTTAATAGCAGTTATAGACATTGGTCATCTGTCCCTTATGGACCAATGGCGTTATGCTTTTTTCTTACCATTGCATTTCCTCTCTTTGAACTGTATCTCTGTAACTCTATCTTTGATCTGTGTTGGCGAATCAACTACTTTGTGAGGTCCTCTGAGGTAACCACTGTTGTGAGTTAGGGCTATACCAAAATACATTGAATTGAGTTCATTTCAAACTAATACAAACCTATATATAGCACAATTTGTAATGTAAGATATTCATTGAATTAGAATCTGGCCTTTTGCTGCCTTGGGCCTGATCCTTCAATTACCCCCTGTCTGTTTTAATAGATTAGTAGATACTACTTGATAATACTTGTAATCTAGTACCAGGTTAGCCTTGAGCCACATGAGTTACAATTTTACACTTTTTTCCAAATCTTCTCTACAGTTGTACTAATTGCAAAAATATGCGTGCAATTTTAGCCACATCCCTACTTATTGATTATTGTAAGCAGCTCCATCTTGTGGCCATGTAATATAGCCTACAATTTGGTCGAAAAGTCATGCAAAAATGAATGACCGACAAAAAAGTTGTGTGTACTTACTGGCATAGTTCTGCAGCTTGCGTAGCTCTGCGTGGTAAACAAAAAGGAGAGGTGTTAGTGAGTGTATTTGGGCCCTGTGTCACACATGTGTCACTGCCACTCAGAGCGGAGGCCATGTCAGGCCCAGAACAAGAGGGAAATAGGAGGAGAGACAGGGGAGGAAGAGGGGAGGAGGGAGGGAGGGAGGGTAAATCCAAACATGAGTCACACTGGTTCAAAGTGCTACGGTGACGTACTTACTGAAGCTCCTCTGTACAAACAGTAACCACTCAGGTCTAATCCAGGACTAAACCAAGAGTAGAGGAAGACTGAACTAGCTCTATTCTCTGCTTTAATTAAAAGATATGCTTATTAGATGTAAAGCTGTGAGCAGGAAGAGTCACCACTGCTCCTCAGTGTCAATGTCAGCTTTATTAGTATGGCACATTTACAGAAACACCAGCTGCCCAAAGTGGTTCATATGACCAAAAGAGTGCTAATGGGGATCTTAACTGAACACACTCATTGTCTGCATTGAGGCTTTGAATCAAACATGTTTTGGGTCATACCAGTTATCTTGAATTGTTTAAATTAATTATTTGATAAAGTCCAATCATAAATCAAGATCTATGGTCAATATGAGAAAAAAAGTGTGTTCTATCCTGTGCAGGCCCTTTGCTTGTGGGGTTTGCATGTTTCTTCCTGTGTCTGGGTGGGTTTCCTCCAGGTGCTCAAGTTTACCAAATCCCCAAAACTTCTGCTTGGGGAGAATGAAGTATACCTTTCCTACCTAGTCCTGAGTTAGGGATGGATGTCAGTATAAGGGTGTAAATGCCCCCAGTAGGAGTACATAGTTTGTAGTAGTCTTAACAAATGTAGCAGTAGTAGTACACGCAGTATAAGTTGCCTGGTACCTTTCCCGTAGAGTTTCTTCAGCTCCTCGTTGCACTTATCCATGAACCCGCTGACCGAGGCTCGGATGGTTCCCAGGTAAAGCTCTGTGTTTACGGAGACCGACGACCAATCGAATGGCTCGGGCACCGGGGACAGGCTGGACAAATGCTGGGGCGATAAAACAAGAGCTCTGGTTAAAATACAACATATGCAGTATCTGAGAAATTGGCTCTTTAAATTAAACATATTTCAGTTTCAAACTAGATTTTTGCCATTTAGACCTATAGAGTGACATGATGAGCTGGATCTTGCATCCTGCCACTAGAGGGCATTACCTGACCAGATATTTGGAGAGGACTATCGACTTCTCCAATCTGAGTGATAGATTGAAATGTAGCCTTGGAAAAAGGGGGATTGAGCTTAATGGGGGGCAAATGGGAAAATTCCATTTAGTACGACTGTAACATAATTGTAAAACATAATAAGAGTAAAAATGTCATGCACCTGAAGCCTGGTGCATGACCTGGAATACGTCATACTTAAATTGCTGATACTGAATTTAGATTTTTCATGTATGTGGCTCAAAATACTATGAAAATTTCCGAGCACATTGTGTAATGAGACAAGGGAAACAGGGAAATGTGTCTCCTGCATTTGACTCATCAGATTTTCAAAGTAACACGTGAAGATTAGTACATTGGTTGGCCATATTAGATAAAAATTGTAATTCTGTCAAATCGGTTGTTTAAGTAAAATTTGACATCTTGACAGTCACATAATCTATTGTTTCGTCAAGAAAAACTTCAAAAACTTCAAAACCAAAAAACTGAAAATCCTAAATGTAAGTCATGTAAAATCATCTACAATGACAGTTCGCTGTGCTGCTCCAGCTCTCCTCTCCTCTGTCGTCTTCTTCAAAGGCTTCTTTCATGTGGTAACAACAATATTTGCCTGTAAATAAGTCGGCTGAATGCACAGGGGAAGGAGGGGCTCTTTGAAGCAGTGTCACAGCCGTGCGCACAAACTTAAAGATGGATGATCCTGTGTAATTATGAGCGAATTAGGCCCATTTTAAATAGATCCATGAGGATGTACAGATCTGGGTCAAGTCTGTGTGAAGAGCTGCAGAAGTACAAGGCCAAGAAATGTTAATGATGGAAAGAAGCACTGGGTTTAATGAGCATCGCTCCATGCATCTGAATGTAAACCACTGAACTGGATCATTTATGGTTCTTTTAGCTCCACATTTGACCTCTGTTGGTAACTATAATAATATGAAAGAAAGGATCAATCCTATATTAGGTATTGGATACATAAACATTTTAGATATTAATGCTTTTTCAGGTTAAAAAAGATATAGGAACATATTTTGCCCCTTCAGAAATTCAGACTGTTGGGAAGGTGTAGATTGAAAATAGTTCAGGGGTTCCCAAACATTTAAAGGCAGAGTTGAAGAATGAGATTGACAGCAGTAATAATCACAGTGTATTTAAATCATGTTAAATCGAATAGAATCCTTCGCAGCAGTCGTTGGACTCGTGGAACTCATGAACCCACAGTGACAGGCGAACAGCAATTTTGTCCTTTAAGCAAATTTGTCCTAAATAAGAGGTTTGAAATCCTCCCCTACAATGGTTGAGTTGACTAAGGATGAGTGAGAAACATGTGCATTTACATCAATTGGCTTCTGTAGTCTAAAATAAAAGAGACACGTCCTGCCGCCGGAACCTTGGCAAAAAGGATCACATGTAGAACATGTATTGAATTGGTGGGAGTATTCCCCAATACCACATGATGGTCACATGTACGATAGTTACTAGAGATCATGATGCCAAAGTGAATTTAAAGAGTGTATATTACTGTATGTTACTTATGATGCTGAAGGTAAGCTGGCTACACACCTGCAGGAACATGACTTTGTCCTGGGTGAGTGCGAAGGCCTCCAGCTCACTGCTCCTCCTCTTCAGCTGGCCCAGTTCGTTCTCCAGTCCTCGGGCCAGTTCCTGTGCGTGTCGCTCTGCTCCTCTCTGTCTGGAGGTGATCAGCTCCACCAGCTCGGCCTGACTCTGCTCCACGAGTCGCTGCAGCTCTGCATACACCACCCAGCTCTCCTCCAGCTCCTTCTGCGCGCTCACCTGCACACACACATACAAGCACACGCGTCAATACACAAAATCATCATCATATACGGACTCTTTTCAGTTATTTCTGTTCTATACTTGTGTGAACAATGACCTTCACACAACGGACTAACAAAGACAAAACATTGAAGTGATCAGGTCATGGTGACTTCAGTTTGGCCTCAGTTGTTGTGTCTAGCTAACACCTGGGTTGGCTTTTCTGATGTGACGTAATTTGCAGTATAAATGGCAAAACGGGGCTGAAGAAACTGTCTGAAAAAGCTCTGATGGAACTTTGTAAGAACTCTGAACCTGGAATAAAGGGACCACAAGCATGTGTGCTCCTGAACCCGCCTCTCTTTGTCGTTTTTTGAAATTGTTTTCAGTACAAAAGCCTCAATAATTCACTAATTACTTCCAAGCACCAGTTAAATCTTGTTTTCTGATTGCACAAAGAAAATCCAATTGGTTTAGGGTCAATCTCTCCCTGTTGGTTTAACTTTTGTCCACCTGCAAATCTTGGCCATCTGCCTGTGGTTTATCCAAGGGAAACCACTCAATTATATATATTATTATCCACTATATAATTAAGAACCACTTTAAATGATAGTACCGTGTTCAAACATATTCATTATTATAAAAATGAAATACATGTGGAGCTGGAGAGTATACTGTAGATTTGTTGATTGTTGACTTTGGTTTAAAAGTTATATCTGTAATACTCAGCCCCAGTGAGAGTTTACACCAAAGCCACTTTTCCAATGGCCCCATACTTTTAACAGTACCATTTTAGACAGACCTACATTTTGTTTTGTAAATCTCAAAATGTTCTCATATTTTGCCATATTCAAGCAAGCGTAAAAATGCCCCCAAACATGTATGGATGAATCCCAACACGGGCCCCATAGTCTCTTATCTAATCTCTTCTCACGTTTGTGTATATTTACAGCGACACAGCGACAGGTCTGGCCGCTGCTTCTTTGTAACCTGATCCGACGTGTATCTTTTAAACTTTCAAATGCATGTGTGTGAAAAACAGGTTATCCTAACAATCAGCATGTCTACCATCACCACCATTACACAGGTGACAAAGTTTAGGTGTAAAACTGAATGTAAACATCCAATTTTCCAGTTGAGCAAGATTTCTTTGGTCCATGTAGCTGAAATGAGGCTGAAGGTAAGATGGGTGTGGGGTGGTTATGTTCAGTCCGACCGGTTGAACAACTTACAGCCGTAAAAACCGTGGCAGCTTCAGTGGCATCGTCTTAAAGAAATGTATGACACCCATGACTCATTATTAGTTATTCTGTGTCTCGATATTGATCTCAAACAATGCAAGAAAATCTATTCTGTATTCAGACTCCCGCCAGACCATCTCTTTATGGGGCGTCGGCACAGACTCTGCTCAGACCACAGATCAAAATAGTCAGCTGATTTTTTTACTTTGAGAAAAAAGTAGCCACAAAGGCATTGAGGGGTGGGGGTAAATGGAGGGTACACATTTATCTAGGGACAATAAAGGCTGATCTAATTAGATGATAATTACTATTGGCACTATTGGCAAATCTTGATCGTCAAAAGGTTTTTCTAATTTCTAACTTATTTTTTGCAGTGCAGTCTTGTACCCATAAACTACTGATTATAATCTTTTTTTATACAGCACATTGTACAGGCTAAGGTCACACAAAGCGCCTGATTATGTTTTGATACAACTGATATATTTCCATAAACTCCACACACGATGATGACAGAAGCGAGACAGAAGAGATAGGTCCCGAGCCACAGGTTTGAGACCTCTGCTGTTCACAATGATACTAACAAATGATAAAGTATTGTCTGTATGTGTTTCACGTGATTTGCCGACTTTAGCGCAGCTGTAAATATTATGACCTGTGCATACTGGACGAGCTTAAGTTAGACATTGTGTATTTAAGTTTGAGTGAGATCAGTTACCTAAAAAAATCCCGCTCAGAAAACATTTAGCCGCAATAAGACAGAAACCAGGACGCACCTTGATGACTTTGATGGCCTGTTTGATTTCATCCAGTTTTTTGGTGCGCTCTTTGATCAGGTGTTTCAGCTCGGATCTCTTTTTCCCCACATGACTCTGGAGAAACAACATGTTCAATAGTGATCTGTGCAATGTGACGTTCTCCTTCAGCTCTGCCAAGTTTTGTACCATTTTCTTCTTGTACTCGTGGTCAGTGGTGACAATCTCGTGGGACTTGTGTGTGGCTTCAGCGCAGGCCGAGCAGATGCAGATGTGGTCCGTTCGGCAGTAGCGGTCCAGGAGGCGCTCGTGCTTCTTGCAGATCTTGTCCTCGAGGTTGAAGGTGGGCTCGATCAGCCGGTGCGTCATCAGCGTCTTCACCTAAACATGACAGCAGTAATAAAGTATGTTCACGAGAGAAGAGACGCATTCTCTATCAAATTTCCGGTTCATCAGGTCACAACTATCTCTGCAAGCAGAGATACTGTTACTGTTTAACACAGGCAAATAAAACAACATTAAAACCAATAGAATCATTATACAAACGGACAATAAAAGTACTGGACAAAAAACCCTCACGACATCCTCACTCCAACATTCTTCAAAAGCAAAGGCTTTTTAACTGGGACAATCTCATTAAGTATTCAAATCTCTGTTTAACATATAAAATAATTCACAATCAGTCATCTCCTCCACTCAGTCAGTTTGTCCACATAAGGAACACCGCTGTGTCTCAGAGGGTAACCAGACGGGCAGCACGAGGGGAACCAGAGGGTAGGGGCAGCACGAGGGGACTGCCTGGTTCCTCTGAGACGGAGCGCCTTCAGTCAGAGTGCCCTCTCTGTAACCGCTGCCAGAGACTGGAACTCCATCCCAGCAAACATCAGAGATATCACGCCATACTCACTATTTCAATTACGTCTGAAAAACTTGTTAATAACACAGCAGACATGTAACCATTAGTCCAGGCAATTTACTCATTGCGTTGTGTAAACATCTTTTGTATGTGAAGTTGAACTGTGTTTTTATTGTATGATATATGTGTTCTTGTTCTCCCCGACTGTCTGTGTTTTCTGTATTTTATTATTGTATGACTTTTATCTTTAGGGAGACTATGTACACCTGTCCAGGGACTGCAGATGAAAAATAGCCTGCTTGGCTAATTCTGGTGCATTTATAGTAATGTTTTGCACAATGTCCCTGTCAACTAAACTAATAAAATAAAAATAAATTCGACATTTTACGTCATTGTCACAAATCAACCCATTTTCTCACAGGGCAATCTCAGCAGGTCACTCAAGGCGTTCCCAAACCACAGAGTTCCCACTGAGTTTAAGGTCTGAGGACAGGGAACGATCCGGGACATATATGGGCGTTGCTTGACCTGTCATTCCATGAACTTCCGTGTTTTTGTTGTTGAATTTCTTTTGCGTTCTGGTTCTATTTTATTTTTGACTCTGCTGATGGTGAAGCAACAATTCTTTGAGGCCTTTTGAGACTGTTGTTGGGATTTTGAGTGATACAAAACAAATTGATTTGAGGTTCTCAGAAGCCAAGCAGGTCTGAGCCTGTAGGGCTTCGAGAGTCTAACATGTAAACTGTTGTTGCGTCCTTAGACACTTGACCCACATCATCTAGTGAGTGAGTGAGTGAATGATTTGTGTAAGAAGGGCCAGTATCACAGTTTGGCAGTCTCACAGCTACACAAACAGCTCAATCTAAAGTGATACTATTGTAAACACATTCTTTTTTTGTACTTTTCAGGATTTTGTGACAGGTAGAGTGTACAATCTTATGCGCACATTTTATCCTAGATTGTATTGGATGATGCCTCAGCAGCTCAAGGCAGAGTACCTTCCTGTGATGCCGGAGATGATCCTCGCAGAAAGACCCCGGGCAGTTGATGCAGGACTTCACAGCTTTGAGTTTCCTGCCGATGCAGGCGTCACACTGGATGTCCCCTGGCGATGCGAACTCCCCGCTGTCCTGCAGCATCTGTGCCCCCGGCGAGGAGGTCCCGGAGACCCCTGCCATCTGCGTATGGTTCAGCGTGCCTGACTTCGAGCCTCCCCCGTCGGCCAGCATCAGCCCCTGGAACTGGCTGGAGATCTCGGCCAGCACGCGGTTCACACTCATCTCTGGCTTTCTGGAGTAGTTCTTCTTGCACATGGGGCAGCTGAACTTCTTGCTGTGGTTCCAGTAGCCCTGCAGGTGGTTATGGTGTTGGTCATACAGTGTAGCAGGATACATAGCGGTTGAAAATTTGTATTCCTACCTGAAGACACGCCTTGCAGAAGCTGTGTCCGCATGGCGTGGACACAGGCTCCACAAAGATATCCAGACAGATGGAGCATGTGAACTGGTCTTCCGAGAGCATCTTACTCCCGGGAGATCGAATGCCTGGACAAAGGGAGAGGATAAATGAGAAATCACAAACCAGAAACATAAGAGCCATTAGGATGATCCATTCAAAAGCTTTGGTCAGAAGTTTAATACTCAATATAGGAAAGGGAATACAATAATAATAATAATATTCAACACAAAAGAATTGCCAACTCTGAAACCTTTTTTGGAAGCAAACTAAACAAAAAATATTGGCATTAAGGTCTCAGTCTTTCAAAATCAGTAATCAGAAGTCACAGAGGACCCCAGGGAATAATTGACAACAGTAATCCATGTGGAGTGATAGAAACATCGTATCGTTGTAAAAGCCTTGGTCAGCTCTGGTTTCATTATGCAAAGTATTGTCCCTTGTGACCTACACGTGAACCTTCTAACCTACATGAGACACCGGGCTATAAAACTGCTCGGTTTCATTGTGGTCTAAATTGGTTTTATTTTGTCGGCAAAAAGGTGGGTTTAATGCTGAAATTTGAGAGTTCGTCGTCACTCACTGTGTAAGGAAGAGCACAGTGGGTTTTGGTCAAAAGTCCAGGGAATGAGGCTTAAAATTGGGCTTGCAGTTTCGTAAACCTAACATATTTGCGTTTGTCCCTTGTCCTTTTTGATAATAATCACTGACATTACATCCCCAGTGTAGAGAACATATGTGTTATATTGATTGCACTAATCTATTTCTGGATCAATACTTAAAGAAATTAAACGATATAAACATATTAACAGATTTAACTAAAGACATATGCATTTGACATGAGGGTTGGTCACATACGTTTATGTTTAAATATAATTTTTCATGGCTACTTCCCATGAGCAATCATGGATTTGCACATGATTTAGAGAGCCTTGCTATGAAGCAGTTTTTCTAGTGTGGGTCTGGTGAAGATTCATTGATACAATTTTCGATACAAGGCGTTTATCTGTGTTGCTCTGATAATTTCATTCAAAAACACAAGATTAAAGGCATATACCGCCACAACAGTTTTAGCATGCACTGATACATGTATCGATATCCATTTAATCAGTACTCATTTGACTATATTGATTCACTGTCCTGTAGTTTTTAAATAGGAGGGTGTGACAGTAACATTTTTGGGTGTGCCATTGTTTTGAAACAGATTCTATGAGCACAGAAAGAAAAGCTCAAGTTTTAGGTGGAGTTCTGTCAATTATAATTAGCTAAACAGCACATCATCAGGAGGGTAAAACAACCTGTCTCACGACGGTCTAAACCCAGCTCATGTTCCTTATTAGTGGGTGAACAATCTAACACTTGGTGAATTCTGCTTCACATTGATAGGAAGAGCCGACATCGAAGGATCAAACAAATCTTTCATTGGAAATGTAATCATGTTTATCGTTTGGTGGAAAGTCAGGTCCAACATGTCATACACACTTTCAATTTGAGGTACCTAACTTTCTACCGACAAAAGTGAATACATTGTAAATGATAATATCCATGTAACTAGTTCCTATATGTAAAACAGTTTGGGTCTATCAATAGTTTTTTACATGCATGGACCACCCTCACTCGGCCAAAAGCTTCAAATAGTGACTCACAGGTATAACATTTTCTAATATGATAGATATTTGGTCTGATTTGTACGTTATAATTTTTACAAAACTCTCTATTTTGTACAAACATTCATTAATTATGAAAACGGATAGTTGATACTCCAGCTTTAAGTAACGAACAGACAGCTTTAACCGATGGTTCAGATGGACTCAAAGATCCAGAATATTTATATATCCGTACTGAATAATGTATAGAAAATGATGTATGATGCTGCGACAATATTAATACCAGATCGATAAATAGAAAACATGTCTGCTGTCGTTGTGTCCTTGGGCAAGACACTTAACCCCAACTTGCCCGAAGCCCCCCTGAAAGATCAAGGCTGTGTCACCGTTGACAGAGCAGCCATCATCCTGTGGACCCACCTCCTGCAGAGTATCAGAGGGACTGGTGCTATGAGCGTTGGGTGCATCTCTCATTTCCACCCCCACGACCCAGACATGGACTAATAAAGGGGTTGAAAATTAATGAATGAGTTGCTTTAACCAACTCAATGAGGAGCACACAGCACAGACTCTTATGTTATTATTAGACTGTTAGTTTACATAGTTTATCAATCTTATGTCACAATGAACTTTGCGTCTGGTCTTATCTAACCTAGCGCTTTAGCAGTAAACCTGTGTCTATCTTTATGTGTATGAGAGTGGTTCTCAAACTGAGGTGCAGGTACTTTGTGGTATTCAAATCTTGTTTCCCACTTTTGAAATTGCATATCATTTTGGCCCTTTAGAGTTTAAAGTTATGTTTTTATTAACTAAGCGGTCTGATAATCAATCCAGAGGCTGTGCGCAAAGTTAAATAGGAGACATTTTAGTGATGTCTACCTTTCTGAATGAGCATGATGGGTTTTTTTTTTCTTTCAATTTTGTCTTTTTCTTGTTAAACTGTACAAAAAATGTGTATTTATCAATAAAAACCACAATTCAATTTGTGAAGAAAAGTTTTTGGGGGAATTTAGATCTAGAATGGATGAACGTTCTCCCGCTCTCTCTGCGTTCTATAGAGTCTGTAGAGTGCTTCAAAAGTCAACTTAAAACACATTTATTTGTTCAGGCTTTTGCATAATTTTGTCTTGCTGTTATTTACATACTTGTCTAGGCCTTTTAAAATGTGTATGTCTATTTTATACTATGTCTGTTTTTTTATACTACGTGAAGCACTTCGGGACACTGGTCTGTGAAGGGCGCTATATAGATAAAGCTTACTTACTTACTTACTTTACTATGTCACAAGGAGATTCACAGGTCATCATAAAGTTTCACACAATTCACAACAAAAGCATTTGATTCTCTACTAAATCAAAGTTTAGCCTTGAAGTTTAGTTTATCCGTTGAAAATATATGTTCAGTTTCTTTAGAGAAGTTCATCACGCTGGTGCTTGGAAACATCCCTCTCTGGGGAAGAAATCGTAGCACTTTTTTCACAAGGACTTGAAGAGGCGATCACTTTGGCACACCACTGAATGTGATATAGTCATATTACGTTAGTGATCGTGGTTCATTTCTTCTATTCACAAAAGCAGGATTGTGTTGCGAAGGTGGAGGAAATCTGAAGAATGCAGAAAGTCCAGAACTGCAGCAGCTTAAGCCTCATGCAGACTTAAAAGAAAACAAGCATTTGCTTTTCAGAACAACGGTTTAGATGTTATGAAACACATTTAGCAGTTTCAAAGATTTTAATGTTAATCTTAGTGGTTTCATATTTTGTCAAATGGCAAATCAAAGTAATTTTATTAATGGGGAAATAATTGTGAGCTGAGATTTGGGAAAACACATTGGTTTCAGCTATATCTTGAACAATCTGTATATATCTATAATATTGTTTTACCCATATAACATCTGATTTAAGAAGTCATGACTTTACAGCAACCACAAATTCCATTATTGTGATAAGAAGGCGGCTTTCGTCACTCGTAGACTGACGCACAGTGGGAAAAGTAAACACAGCTTTACCACACAGGAACACAAATGGCTGATAAAACTACTAACAAAAAGGAAAAATGGGAAGAAAAATAATTCAATGGGTTGGAAAGTTCAATGGGTCAAAACAAGTGACAAGGTTTTACTACTTACTGTTCACTATTGTTGAATAATTTAATTGGTACAAAAGTATATAACAATACCAAGCGACAAATAATAGTTGAAATTGTTCTTACTTGACATATTCCTTTCCGGCAGTAACAGTAGTAGTAGTAACAGCAGCAGTGGTACTGGGAATGTTGATCTTTGGATCTTGGCTCAGTCTGGTCCACAGGTGCAGGGCTCTTCCTGAAACCTGTCCCGTGCCCCTCCCTCACAGAGCACCACTCCCACTCAGGCTTTTGTCCTCCCCTGCTCCACTTTACACTTGCAAACGCTACAAACAGAACAATTTAAAGTAGAAAGAGAGAGAGATTTGGGCTTTTCCTAAATGGGGTGAAAACCAAGTGCCAGATAAATCCGTTTTATGAGGAACTACAACTATATACTACTATACTAAAACTCCTATTACTACTGTTATTACTCTGCGGTAAACTATTGCTTGTTTAGCACCGTGATGGGAGACAACACGGGTCACGATTGATTTTTCCTGCAAACATGCCACTAAATATCAGTTTAGGGGCAATAGTAGCTCAGTTTGTAGTTGTGGATTCGAGCCCACCACGAGACCTTCTCCACCAACTCCCACTGATGTCTGCTGTCGTTGTGTCCTTGGGCAAGAAAATTAATCCACTTTGTCTATAAGGAGCGTGGAAGTGATGTTTGCTGCTTGCCTTGATGTGCGTGTGTATGCATCAAAACTGAAATGTCCCCCCAAACAAAGGACCTTCTTCTTCTTTAATGTAATCTTTGTCTTGAGTGAGATTGAATTGCCCATGGCTTCAGGACAATAGATCACATTTACAATTATTAATGATACTAAAGATGTATTATTATTATCAAGTGTACATTAGATACATTATATAAGCAGCATAATGTAATGTCAAATAAATAAATAAAAGATTGATGGTGAGGCCCATGCGCCTCTCTTCATGCTATATAAAACTGATGCATTATTAAATCTGGGTTATCATAAAATGTCTTGTTCTCATAGGGTTCACATGAGTGTATTTTTGGCCTCAGTCTCTAGAACAGGTTTTTCAGACAGAGAATTGGAAATGAAAGAACCACCATCATTCACCTCTCAGGCAAAGCTTCAAACAGTGACTCACATTAACTTTTGTGGGCTGATTTGTTGATTTGTTAAACCTTGACTCTGTTGAGACAAACAACATGCATAATGGAAGGAAAGTTATGTTCCCCAGCTTTATAGTTTCAGTAGATAAAAGGAAAGTATGTTGGCCTATAACTTCTAATGAGTAAAAATACTGATATTAGTGCAACCAAATACAGTCTAAATGCATATCATTATTGTTCATATCTTGATCCACAAAGACGATATCAAAATACCATGGTCGTACACAGCCTCTAGGGAAAATAAAGCCAATTAAAACCAGAACATTGAGTCTGCAGGGACGGGGAGATTCTAAATAATCCCTAAATGATTATATACGATTAAAGGGTGACCAGATGTTCAAAATAAACTGGGACCCATAAAGCTTTTTATTTTTTATTTCTCAAAACCACAGTCGCCCGTTGATTAACACCCAGAACTACTTGTATTTCAACATTGCCATTATTCCTATTGTACTATGGCCAATGATTTGTCTTATCTATATTAATACTTTGCTATAGCAGCTGCATGTACTGCTATCACCTCTAAATCTGCTGCCGATTACAGAACAGTATAAAGTCATTTCAAGTTGATTTATTCCCTCGTTACACTGTTGCTTAATATGTTACTTTAACTCATTACATAAGCATTTGATTTATAGTCTTCATATTAGGCAATAACAATCCAAATTTCACGGCTATAATCGGCCTTGCTAACGATGGGCCGCCAGGGTAATGACCGGACATTAGCCGTTAGCCTGCAGCATGCTAACGCTAATGGATTGAAGAAAATAGGAAACTACTTTAGCCTTTAGCTTTTGATACACTTGAATAAATACGCTAATCTTCATTGAGGCTACCTTAATGTGTTTTACCATCATTAGAAAATAAATAGATCCAGGATTAGCTTTCTGCCTGAAGCTTATGGGAAAAGCAGATCAGAAAGACCTATTGCCGTAGAAATTCTTTTTAACTACTGCAAGTTGAGGAATTTCCATTAGAATTTCATATTTTAAATAATTAAAAAGAGGTAGACTTCGCACATCTCTTCTATGACAGGTGCGTAGGAGTGGGCGCGCACAAGGTGGCCAAACATGAAAGAAAGGATGACACCCGCACACTGTCTAACTTGCAAACACCAGTGGTTTATTAGCAACGTTTCGGCCACAGGCCTTCCTCAGGCAAAATATACAAATAGAGGTTGGGAGCCATCTTAAATAGGGAGGGGCTGACAACGCCCCTGGATGTAATCAACTATACCAGATGACCAAAAAACTTTCACAAAACGTCAAAAAAACTCAAAAAGTGGAAATCACCAATATATACATATATACATGATGCATGAAGAAAAACATATGGAAGCAGACATACAGGACAGCTGATCAAGAAATGGCTGTCCTAATACATACATTCCTACATGTATTCTAAAATGTGTATTCTTACAATGTGACACACGGCAGTCTATTTACAAAAAGACATTCAAGACAAGCTCATCGTTCAGGCCTTTTGGTGTGAGGGTTTGCAGTTTGTGTATCCAAAAAGCCTCTCTCTGTTTGAGAAGCTTATCATGGTTACCCCCCCTCACAGGAAGAGGAACATGCTCTATCCCATAGAAACGAAGGGCACTCACATCATGATTAGCATCATTAAAATGTACAGCTACAGGATACTCCCTGTCATTCCTGCGGATAGAACTTTTATGTTCACTTATTCTTTGTTTTAATTTTCTTGTGGTTTTGCCTACATAGGCCAAACCACAAGGACAACGCAGTAAATAGATGACATGAGTGGAAGCACATGTTATAATGCTTTTGATGGGTATTACTCATTATGGTCTCCTCTTTCAACTTATGTTGGACCACTTTATAAAACCATTAGTCCACAACCTTCCTGCCTATATAAGAGATTCTACAGACTTTCTAGAAAAGTGCTCCGACCTTAAAGATATACCTGTTAATGCCTTATTGCTGACATTGGACATCACTAGCCTCTATACCAACATTCCCCATGAAGGGGGTTTAGAGGCCATAAATTACTATCTACAGCAGAACAGCAGCAGTACAAGGCCTCCTGACCAAATCATCTTGGACTTTACTGAGTTTGTCATGAAATATAACTATTTCCGTTTTGAAAAGACATTCTATCTACAAATATCTGGGACAAGCATGGGCACCATTTGTGCCCCTAACTACGCCAATTTGTTTGTTGGTTTTTTTGAAAATAAATTTGTATTCAACAATGAAAAAAATCCATTTGCTCATAAAATTCTAAAATGGCTCAGATATATTGATGATGTTTTTTTTGTTTTCAATGGTACTTCCCAAGAACTGACGGATTTTGTGAAATTACTTAATAGCTTGATACCAAGTTTGATCTTTACTCCACAGTATAGTACTGTACAAGTCAGTTTCTTAGATATGGTAGTGCTTAAATCCAATGGCACCATAATAACATCACTTTACAGGAAGGAGACGGACAGAAACACTTTGATGTTGGCCTCAAGTTTTCATCCTACCCCTCTTAAAAAGAGTTTACCAATCAGTCAATTTTACAGACTCAGACGGATATGTCACTCTGAGGAGGACTTCATTGAACAGGCCAGAGACATGAAAAACAGGTTCAAACAAAGAGGATATCCCACTACATGGATAGAAAATGCTTATGAACTGGCTTTAAAAAAAACACGAGCAGAATTTAAAAAAAAAAACTGTTAAAAAGAAAAAGCAATTTTCTATCACTTGTATCTCCCAGTATTCTCCCCACTCTGCAACCATCAAAACTATGTTCAGAAAACACTGGCACATACTCACATCGGATCCTGAACTGGCCACTATCTTCAAGTTCCCTCCCCTTTTTGTGAACAGGAGGGGCAAGAACCTTAGAGACCACCTTGTCCGGGCCAGTTTCTCCACCCTAGCGCCATCCACTCAGACCCTCCTGACGCCGATTCCTAATGGGAACTATCGTTGTGGTGGTTGTGCCCAGTGCAATAACACTTACAAAACCAGCTTTTTTCTACACCCGCACAGTGGTAAGAGTGTACCCATCAAAAGCATTATAACATGTGCATCCACTCATGTCATCTATTTACTGCGTTGTCCTTGTGGTTTGGCCTATGTAGGCAAAACCACAAGAAAATTAAAACAAAGAATAAGTGAACATAAAAGTTCTATCCGCAGGAATGACAGGGAGTATCCTGTAGCTGTACATTTTAATGATGCTAATCATGATGTGAGTGCCCTTTGTTTCTATGGGATAGAGCATGTTCCTCTTCCTGTGAGGGGGGGTAACCATGATAAGCTTCTCAAACAGAGAGAGGCTTTTTGGATACACAAACTGCAAACCCTCACACCAAAAGGCCTGAACGATGAGCTTGTCTTAAATGTCTTTTTGTAAATAGACTGCCGTGTGTCACATCTTAAGAATACACATTTTAGAATACATGTAGGAATGTATGTATTAGGACAGCCATTTCTTGATCAGCTGTCCTGTATGTCTGCTTCCATATGTTTTTCTTCATGCATCATGTATATATGTATATATTGGTGATTTCCACTTTTTGATGAGTTTTTTGACGTTTTGTGAAAGTTTTTTGGTCATCTGGTATAGTTGATTACATCCAGGGGCGTTGTCAGCCCCTCCCTATTTAAGATGGCTCCCAACCTCTATTTGTATATTTTGCCTGAGGAAGGCCTGTGGCCGAAACGTTGCTAATAAACCACTGGTGTTTGCAAGTTAGACAGTGTGCGGGTGTCATCCTTTCTTTCATATTTTAAATCATACAAGTTCCATTGGTTTTCAGATTCACTTGCATGATGAGATGACCCAATACAAACCATGAGTTCATAATAAAGCCAGACATTTTCACTCTTATCCCATCTGTTTTTTTTAACCAAATAATCATATAATTTAAAGAGTACACCAAACATTGGACCACCTCACTGTCAATCATGTGTACCTTTTCTGTGCTA